TACACACACACATACACACACTTATCAGAATAATCTGGAGTTTTTCGTTAAAGGTACATACACATATCTATTATATCATTTCCACTTCCCTTCAGAATCTTAGTGGTAGGGAGAATATGAAGGGAGGTAGATATACATATTTTGAAGAAAAAAATCCCCTAGATTATATGGTTCACCACTGGCTTTCACTTTGAAATCATTGATCTAACTCAAGGCTGTATTACTTGTGATATGAACCAGTAACTAACTGTAGCTTTTGCTTGAGAGAAAGGGCTACCAAATCTGCCAATATTTTTACAGCTCAATAAATTTTCACCATTTAATGTCATAGCTGGGATAGATTTTCTAGCCAGGAGCTAAAGTTGCCAGAAATAAAAATTGTGCTGAATGTTTTGCTTTGGATTAGTTTTTACTTGACATTTAGCTGCTTTCCATAAACCAAGCTAATTTCTTTCATAATTCAGACCTGTGTTAATTTGCACAGATATTTACTTATATCTTGTTCTCTCAATGTGCCTGGAGGCTATCTAATTCTAGAATCAAACTGCAATTGGAAAATAAGAATTGGCAGATTTCTCGATTAAAGGTCGTTTTGCAATATTGCCATAATACAAAGAAGATATACATTTAGCTTTTGCATAAACATTCTCTCAATAATATATAGTAAAACTTGGAATTGTGAATGTATTGACTTTAACACAGATCCTGTTTAGAAATTCCTAGTTCATCCTTATGAATTCTAGACTTTTTGTTTGGGTATCTATCTGCCATGAAGACAAGTACTAGAAAAAGTAAAGGAGTAGAATTTAATTTTGGAGAAAGGAGTAAAAACTCAATTATGTAATATATTAAGAGGTGTGACTGATTATTTATAGAATTATAGTTCTTTCTTGGTTTGAAATCTAACTGCCAGAAAAGTAGTCATAAAATATGGTAAGTGGCACCAATTTATTGAATGGAAAAGCATGGGTTACAAAATAGTTATTTGTCTATTTGTAAAACACTGTACTCCAAAAAATATTAGAATCAGATTTTTTACTGAACCCATCCATGCTTCCTGAGCCCCCTTTCTGCTGCTCCCCATTCTGGATTCTCCTCTGGAAAAGGCACTTCCTTCTGCCTTCAGTCCATTCTGCCCCAGTCGTTGCATGGGGTCATCCACCTGGCTGAGTTTGCTTAATAAGATTTCCTTGATGAAACATTTTAAAGAAAAAGCTAAAGAATCCTAGCCGGCTTAGCTTGGTGCTTAGAGCTTAGCTGATGGACTAAAGGGTCTTGAGTTTGAGTCCAGTGAAGTAGGCACTACCTTGGTTGCAGGCTCGATCCCCAGCCCAGGTCAGGGCGCTTGTGGGAGGCAACAATCCATTTGTCTCTTTCACGTTGATGTTTCTCGCCGCCCCCCCTTTCCACTCTGTCTGAAAAGCAACTGAAAAAATATCCTCCAGTGACGAATAAAAAAAGAAAGGAAAAGAAAAAGTTAAAGAAAAGCACATCTAATCTAATAAACCATAGATTAAACAAAATAATTGGGCCCGGCCGGGCGTGGCTCAGCAGTTGAGTGTCGACCTAGGATGCAGGCGATCGGGGTTCAATTCCCGGTCAGGGCACATGCCCGGGTTGCGGGCTCTATCAATGACTTTCTCATCATTGATGTTTCTGTCTCTCTCTCTCCCTCTCCTTTCCTTTCTGTGAAGTCAATTAAGATATATTTTAAAAAAATAAATTAAATAATTGGGGTTTTGATAGGATTGCATTGAATCTGTAGATCACTTTGGGTAATATTGACATTTTAACAGTATTAAATCTTTCAATCTATGAACATGGATGAGTTTTCATTTATTTATGTCTCCTTTAGTTTTATTTACCAATGTTTTGTAGTTTTCATTATACTGGTCTTTTACCTCAGTTAATTTCTTTTTTTTTTATTTTAAATATGTCTTTATTGATTTCAGAGAGAGGAAAGGAGAGGGAGAGAGAGAGATAGAAACATCAATGATGAAAGTCATTGGTCGGCTGCCTCCATCTGGGGATTGAGCCCACAACCCGGGCATGTGCCCTGACCAGGAATCTAACCCCGATCACCTGGGTCCTAGGTTGATGCCCAACCGCTGAGCCATGCCTGGCCGGGCACCTGGGTTAATTTCTGAGTATTTTATTTTTGATGCTATTGTAAATAGAATTGTTTTTATAATTTCCTTTTCAGATTGTTTATTCTTAATATATGGAAATGCAACTAATTTTTGTGTGTTGACTTTGATCCTGCTACTTGTGAATTCGTTTATTAGTTCTAACAGGTTTTGTTGTTTTTGTGGAAATCTGTAGGGTTTTCTACATAAAAGATCACAATGTGCAAACAGGTGATTTTGTTTTCCTTTCCAATTTGGATGCCTTTTATCTGTTTTTATTGCCTATTTACTCTGGCTAGGACTTCCAGTACTATATTGAATAGACATGGTGAAAGCAGGCATACTTGCCTTGTTCTTGATCTTACAGGAAAAGCTTTCAGTCTTTCACTGTTGTGTATGATGTTCTCTGGGTTTTTCACATATGGCTTTTATTATGTTCAGGTAGTTTCCTTCTAGTCCTAGTTTTTTTTACTGTTTTTATCATAAAAGGTGTTGAATTTTGTCACATGCTTTTTGTGCATCAATTTAGATCTTTATGTTCTTTTTCCCTTTATTCTAGTATATTACGTTTTTTAAAATGTTGAACCATCCTTGCATTCCAGGAAAAAAAATCCTACTTCATCATGTTATATAATCTTTATTATATGCTGCTGAATTCTGTTTGTCAGTATTTTGAGTATTTCTGTGTCAGTGTTCATAAGGGATATTGGGCTGTAGTTTGTTTGTTTGATTTTTTTCTGTAGTGTCTTTGTCTGGCTTTGGTATCAGGGTAATGTTGGCCTCATAGAACAAGTTAAGAGGTGTTCCCTCCTCTTCAGTTTATTGGAAAAGTTTGAGAAGGATTGGTATTAGTTCTTCTCCATGTTTGTTGGAATTCACCAGTGAAACCATCAGGTTCAGGGCTTTTCTTTGTCAGATTTTTGATTACTGATTTAATCACATTACTAGTTATAGGTCTATTCAGATTTTCTTTCTTTTTTAATTTATTTTTTACAAGTTCATTCTTTTTGCTTATTTTTTTTTTAATTGAATTTGTTGGGTTGTATATTTTCTGTTTCTTGCTAATTTAATCTTGGTAAGTTTTGTGTTTCTGGGAATTTGATAATCCAATTTGTTGGTATACAATTGTTCATAATACTCTTTATAACACTTTTTATTTCTTTATTTTTAAACATATCTTTATTGATTTCAGAGAGAGGAAGGGAGAGGGAGAGGGAGAGATAGAAACATCAATGATGAGAGAGTCATTGATCAACTGCAGCCCGCAACCTGGGCATGTGCCCTGATCGGGAATCGAACCCTGATCGCCTGGATCCTAGGTCGATGCTCAACTGCTGAGCCGCGCCCGGCTGGGCAATAACACTTTTTATTTCTGTAGAATCAGCAGTAATGTCCCCTCTTTCATTTTTGATATTTGTTATTTGTGTTTCCTCTCTTTTTTTCTTAGTCCATCTAACTAAAGCTTTGTCAATTTTGTTAACCTTATCAAATAACCAGTTTTTGTGTTTTTTATTTTTATTTTCTCTATTGTTTTCTGTTCTCTATTTCACTTATCTCTGTGCTAATCTTTATTATTTTCATCCTTCTGCTAGCTTTGGGTCTAGTTTATTCTTTTTCTAGTTCCTTAAGTTGTAAAGTTAGGTTGTTGATTTGATAGTTTTCTTGTTTTTTAATGTAAGCTTTTATATCTATAAATTTCTCCCTTAGCACCACTCCCACACCATCCCATACATTTTGGAATATTGTGTTTTTTATTCTCATTTGGCTCTAAGTATTTTCTTATTTCCATTGTAATTTCTTCTTTGACCCATTGACTGTTTAAAAGTGTGTTGTTTCATTTCCTCAATCTTGTGAATTTTTCCAGTTTTCCTTCTGTTGATTTATAATTTCATCCCATTGTTGCCATGGAAGATACTGTGTATAATAATACCTGTCTTCTTAAATTTGTTGAGTCTTAATTTATAGCCTAACATATGATCTATCTTGGAAAATGTTCACTTCAGAGGAATGTGTATTCTGTTTTTGTCTTAACTTTCAGTTACATATTTGTCACTTTGAATATTTAGTAAATTTTTATTGTGTGCCAGACTTTTTGTTTGAAAGATTCAGAGACAATGTTACCTTGCAGACAGGGTTCCCATTTCTTTCTGTGGCTCAAATGAGTGAGGGGCTAATTACCTCCAATTAATCAGGGATTGAGCTGTTTTAAAGCTGTGTTAAAGTTTAATAAAACTCAGTTTTCCTACCATTTGCCCTGTTGGGTTTTCTTGTGTTTTTGTTTTTTTTTTAATTGAGAGCCTAGTTAGTATCTGTATCCTTAGCACTGAAAGATTGTCAGAGATCTATCTCTACAGAGGTTCCCAGCATAGCTCTCAAATGTGCTTACCTGCACTGCTTCAAAACCTGGCAGTTGCCTTAGTGGTTCCTAATTCCCAAGGTACAAAAAGATAGAGTCTCCTTGACATGAAGTGCCCCTTCCCAAAGGGGCAACTGGTACAAGTTTCTTGTACATCTTTCCAGAGATATTCTTAGTCCTTTCCAAGTTTTTCCTCCCACTGCTGAACTTCTCATGAAAATAAAAATCTCATGTGATAATCCAAAATGTAAGAGATAAAGTCAGCTGCTGTGGTTGGAGTAGGAGGTTCTGACACATCTTTGGTTTGGAAAAAAATTGAATTATAATTATAATGTGATTAAATTTCAAGAGAATTTTATTGATGTATTTTTTCTGTTTAAAAAATCACATTTTGTTAATGAACATATTTTAAAATGTTAATTTTCTTTTGATGTTTTAGATTTAAAAACATAATGTGATCAGCAACTATATGAAAATAATTATCAATTTGTGACAAAAGTATACCTTTTGCAATTTGAAAATGATTCTCCCTGATCAAAAAGCCTTTAACATATTTTTGTGCCAAAAATTCAAGGAATAGCATTTTCTGTGTTCTTTTTAAAAATGATAACATTTTCAGTTCTGTGGGACTCATCCAAAATGATTTTATAGTCATTGATACTTAGTATTTAAGCTTGGTGTTACACTGCATATTAAAACTTTAATGATTGCATGTGTGTGTATTTGTGTGTGATATCACTGTACTAATGGATTCATAGAATTATTATATGGAAATCTTAGTTTTATAGATTATTCAAGTGAGGCTCCAGAAAATTTAAATAACCTACTCATGGTCTTGCAGATAATTAATGACTAATTTGAAACTAAAACTCAGATTTCCTTTTAAATTTTTTTTTTTTAAATTAGGTTTGGTAATGGTGCACAAGTATATGCTAGTTATTATAGAAACTTTTCAGACCATAATTATTTCTTAAATTAGATAAATTATATTATAAATGTCTTACCAAAATTGTTCTTCTTTGTATTACATTCTTGAGAATGTGTCTCAATTTTTACTGATTTCTGTTTTAATTTTTTTATAGAGTTGGAAAATATTTAAGTCTCAACAAATGAATTCCACACTTGAACTCTGCCACATCCCTGTGCCACCTCCTCCTTTAGAAAACCGATCTTAAAACAAAGGTAAACATTATAGAATTTAACTTTTTAAAGGATAAAGAATTAATTTCCCATACAGTTAGACGTATTAGAATTTTTGTTACTCTTTGGTGGGTAGCTTCTATTAAGCAATTTACCCAGGAGACTTGAAATAATGATCTTAATTAATGCCTTTGAAATTTACTTTTCTTCTTAAATCTTCACCTGAGGATATTTTTCCATTGCTTTCTCAAAGGGAATGGAAGGATGAGAGAGAGAAACATCAATGTGATGAGAGACACATCGAATGGTTGCTTCCCGCACTTGCCCTGACTGGGGCAAGGGATAGAGCTCGCAACCGAGACAAATGCCCTTGACTGGAATTGAACCTTGGAACCTTTAGTCTGCAGGCCGACACTCTAACCACTGAGCCAAACCAGCTAGGGCTGAAATTTACTTTTAAAAGTGGTGTGTGTTTTTTAAATAGTTGTGTCTCTTAACTTTTTTGTTGTCTAAACTTTACAGTTATTAATTTATCAAATTTACTTGGCATAACCATATCATATGGCTACATCTAGATCTGTGCTGTCCAATAGAATTTCTGTGATGATGTCTATGTTCTATATCTGTGCTGTCCAATATGGGAGACACAAGCTACATTTAGCTGAATAGCCACTTTAGCTAGTGGCTACGGTATTGGACAGTGTAGCTGTAGGTTTTTCCTTAGAGAACTTGGTATTTACAATAACAGCACATTTTAAGTGCTTAAATTTCAGACTTAATCTAAATAGTTGTTGACCTAGTTTGAAAATTTCCAATAGCAAAATTCATTTTTCACTATCTCATGTGTTATCCTAATACTTGTGTAGCTTTGTTTATCCAATAGTTTTCGTCCACTAGAAACTGATAAGAGCAGTTATCAGTTAGTCTTGCTCACTGATGTGTTAACTTATTTAATTTTTAAAAAATCAAACAAACCAAAAAAAATCCTTTGACATAGGTACTTATGTTGCATAGAATAAAATGCACAGTAAGCATAGTTCTATCATGAAATTCATTTTTAGGTGAAGAACCAGGTTTTCAAGAGTTTAGTACCACTTAACTAATTGATATTTGAAAGGGGAAAAAGAGAATTCTGACAATGACTTGAAAAAAAATCATTGTAATAAGTGAAGGAACCTGATAAAATGAAGGACACTGTCATTTGGATATGTAGTTGTGCTCTATTTTGTGAAGTTATTTTTAAGAGCCTCATTTCTTCAGCAAGAGTTTTTAACATGGGATTCCATATCTACTTAATGGCTTTACTAGATCTTTGAACTCCCTAAAGTTATTTGAAAAACTGTGTACATATGGGCATTATATTTATCTTTTTCTGAATTAAGGCTTCTTAGTTTTGTTTGGGTATCAAGGGGGGGGGGCTGTGAATTTCTGCTTTTTCCCCCTAAAAGGTTAAAAACCAATATTGGCTGGTGTGTCTCAGTTGGAGCCTTGTCCCAGTATACCAAAAGGTCTTGGGTTTGATTCCTGGTCAGGGCACATGCCTGGGTTCTAGGTTCAATTCCTGGTCCAGGTGCATACAGGAGGCAACCAATCGATGTTTCTCTCTCGTTCCCTCTCTCTCCCTCTAAAATCAATAAACATATCTTGGGTGAGAATTTTTTTTTAAATCATTAAAAAAAAATAGGTTAAGAACCATTGCTTTATATCTTGTATATTATGATTTTATATGTAGGGTTAGTTTATCAGTTCTTTTTTTTTTTCTTACAGTTCACTATGGAACATTTCAAACCTGTGACAAAGTAGAGAAAATAGTGTAGTGAAATTTGAGTGTCGATAACCTTGATTACTCAGTTTCAGTGGTTATCAACTCATCATGGCCAGTCATATTTCATCTATACCCATTGTACTGTCCTTTTTTGGCTCTCCCTTCTGTCCTTGATTATTTTAAAGCAAATTCCAGACATCATTTCACTAATAAATATTTCAGTGTGTATCTCTAAGAGATAAGCGCAATTTTTATTTAGTTTTATATTTTAATCTTCACCCGAGGAGATACTTAGGGAGAGGAATGGCGGGAGGGTAAGGGAGAGAGAGAGAAAAATATCAATTGGTTGCCTTCTGTATGCTCCCACACTGGGGAACCCACAACTCAGGTAGGTACTCTGACTGGGAATCCAACAGGCAACCCTTCAGTGCACAGGACAACACTCAACCAACTGAGCCAGTCTGGCTGGGCAATAAGTGCTATTTTTGAAAACTATGATACCAGCCCTAGTCCGTTTTGCTCAGTGGTTAGAGTGTTAGCCCGTGGACTGAAGGGTCCTGGGTTTTGATTCCAGCCAAGGGCACATATCCCGGTTGCAGGCTCAATCCCCAGCCCCTGATGTAGCACGTGCAGGAGGCAGCCAGTTGATGTCTCTCTCATATTGATATGTCTCTCTCTCTTTCTACCCCTTCCACTCTCTCTGAAAGAGCAATGGAAAAAATATCCTTGGGTAAGGATTTAAAAAATTAAATTAAATTAAAATTAGAAACTATGATACCAGCCCGGCCGGTGTGGCTCAGTGGTTGAGCATTGACCTATGCACCAAGAGGTTGCTGGTTTGATTCTCTGTCAGAGCACATTCCGGGTTTTGGGCTCAATCCCTAGTAGGGGGCGTGCAAGGTGGCAGCCAATTGTTCCTTGCTCATCAATGTCTCTGTGTCTCTCCCTTCGTCTCCGTTCCTCCTCTCTCTTTAAAAATCAATTAAAAAAACCCCATGCTAACAAGAAAAAGAACAAAAATGACTTTTAACAAAAGCCAAAAAACTATGATACCATTGTCAAATATAAAAATAACCTACAGTAATTCCTTAATTTAATACCATTAAATAACCAGTGATGCTCAACTTCCTCCACTTGTGTCATGCTATTTTTAATTGTTTGAAGCAGGGTCCAAATAAGATTCATACTTTGCTTATTGATTTTCTTTTTACATCTCTTAATCTGTGGGTTTCCCTACCATCTCTTTTTTTGTTGCAACTTATCAGTCTATCTTAAAAACGTTTGGTATTTGAAAATACACCTTTTTGGACTTTTTGTTTACATAGTACTTGGTAAAGTGCAGTATATAGGGATATTTTTAAATCCTTTTGGAATTGAGAGGAGAAATTAGAAAATCTGGTTTCCTATTTTTAGGTAGAACTTTAGTGTGGAATTTTACACATTCTTAGGAAATGTTGTCCTTTTAATAAAGGAACTTTCATTTGCTTTGAAGACACTTTACTCCTCCCCCAAGAAGATCTTTATTTCTTCTAGTTTTTACCTTTTGAGCCCAATTAAAAACCAAAACTTTTTATTATTTTTCTCACTTTAAAAATAATACATACTTAATTATTTTTTTATAATTCAAAGTTGTATAATATAGCCTCAGTAATCCTTCCGTCAGAGGTAGACACTTAAAGTTTAGTGTATACTATATGCTTCCAAGCTTTTTTTTTTACATTTTATGTAGTTTTACAAAGGAGTTATAGTTTACATACTATTGTATGACTTGCTTTTTCTACTTGGACATATTTTCATTTTAGAAAACAGAAATCTACCTTCTTCAAAGGCTTTATTTCATGTAGTGTATATACATTTATAATCCGTTTGCTGAATATATGACCCGTGATTTCTAGCTTTTCTGTCTTTGTCATTTATAATTTGTTACATGGTCTATTCTATGATGTATAACTTATTTCAGTTGTATATTTGGTAAAAAGTTCTAGACACCGACTGTGCATTTGTCTTGGGTAATGTGCATTTCGATTTCACTCAATAGACTTGTTTTTGCCACCTTGAAGTATAATTGTTGGGGAAAATATAAAAGCATTAGGAAAATAGGTTTCAAATGTACCGATAAAAATAAAACTTTCTGTAAAAAATTTTAGTTTGAGTTCTATTCTAAAATTAAGCCTCCTTATCTACAATATGTACTAGATGAGCTACTACTTTAGAGAAAGGCACACATCATTTACCTTTGGTAGTTTCTGTAAGTAGTTATGCTATCCTCAATTCTGTTCTTTTTCTGTTCAGAGATAAGTGTAACAGAAGGTAGAAGAAGATGCTGGGATCTGAACGTGGTGTTGTGGAAGAATGGTTATCAGAATTCAAGGTAAATTGGATTGGGGATAAGAATATGTCATATGATTGTATATGTCAGTAATTCAAACAATGAAAAGGTGTTCTTTGGAGAAACTGAAATATTATGATGTGAAGTGGAAATGGCAAAGTATGAAATAACGTTTCTATAATTTGCAACTCTTTAAAAAGGTACTAATGTGAATAATGACTAGATAATATATAAAAATGAAAATTGTTAGGATTGGTGAAGGGAATATAAATTTTAAAATATTTCAATAAAAGGGGAAGCCTCCAATTTTACTTATTTTTTAAATTTATCTTTACTGTTGAAAGTATTACAGGTGTCCCATTTTTCTCCCCAATTGACCCCCTCCACCTTGCTTCCACCTCTTCCCCACGCCTTTACCCCATTATTGTCTGTGTCCATGGGTTATGTATATTTGCCTATAACTTCTTTGGTTAATCTCTTCCTACCCTCTACCTCCCTTCCCTCTTTCCTCTGAAATATGATCGTTTGCTGCATACATCAGTGTCGCTGGATCTATTTAGTTTGTCAGATTCTTTTGTTCATTAGCTTCTTCTCAAAGAAGACCCTTCAACATTTCATGTAGTACCGGTCTTGTGGTGATGAACTCCTTTAGCTTTTTCTTATCTGTGAAGCTCTTTATCTGACCTTCAGTTCTAAATGGTAGCTTTGCTGTGTAGAGCAATCGTGGTTGTACTTCCATGTTTTTCATCACTTTGAATATTTCTTGCCACTCCCTTCTGGCCTGTAAGGTTTCTGTTGAGAAATCAGCTGACAGTCATATGGGTGCTCCCTTGTAGGTAACTAACTGCTTTTCTCTTGCTGCTTGTAAGATTCTCTCTTTGTCTTTAACCTTTGGCATTTTAATTATGATGTGTCTTGGTGTGGGCCTCTTTGTGTTCCTCTTGTTTGGAACTCTCTGTGCTTCCTGAACTTGTAAATCTATTTCTTTCCCCTGGTAGGGGAAGTTTTCTGTTATTTTTTCAAATAGGTTTTCAATTCCTTGGTGTCTTTCTTCCCCTTCTGAAACCCCAATAATACAAATGTTGGGCCTCTTGAAGTTGTCCCAGAGACTCCTTATACTATCTTCATATTTCTGGATTCTTTTTTCTTTCCTGTCTTCTGGTTAGGTGTTTTTTGTTTCCTCATATTCCAAATTGCTGATGTGATTTTTAGCGTCCTCTACTCTACTATAGATTCCCTGTAAACTATTCTTCATTTCAGTGCAGCCTTCATTTCTGATTGGTACTTTATCATGTAATTGATGATCTCACTAGTTTCCTTAATAGCCTTACTAAGATCCTTGAGCATCCTTATAACCATTATTCTGAACTCTGTATCTAGTAGCTTGCTNGAGATTTCTTCTGTTCTTTCCTTTGTGACATGTTTCTTTGCCTCCACATTTTGGCTGCTTCCAGGTGTTTGTTTCTATGTATTAGGTAGAGCTGCTATGTCTCCTGGAATTTGTAGAGTGGCTTTGTGTAGTAGGTGTCCTGTAGGGCCCAGTGGCTCAGCCTCCCCAGTCACCTGAGCTGGGCCTTCTAGGTGCTCCCTTGTGTGGGCTGTGTGCACTGTCCTATTCTGGTTGAGCCTTGGTTGCTGTTGGCATCACTGGGAGAAACTGACGCACAGGCCAGTCGGCTGTGAGGACCAGCTGCAACTACAGGCAAAGAGTTGCTATGCTGGAGACATCCCTATGGAGCAGGATTTACTTCAGTGGGGCCTTGGCGTTCACCGAGTCTGCCCCTTGAGTGTGTCACTCGTGGATGTGGTAGGGTTGTAATCCAGTGTGGTCAAGTCTGACCACCAGGTGCACTGTCTCTGGGGCCTCCCGGGAGGTGCAAAGTCAGCCTCTGTCAATGCCTTGCCCAGGGCCACCCAGCATGAGCTACACAGCAACCTGTAGTTGGCTGCTCCTTGTGCTGGGCTTGGAGGAGCCCAGGAGAGGCCAAGCTATGAGCCAGTGCAGGCTGCCACTTGTGCCAGACCTGGGGCAACTTATCAAGACGTATGGGGAACGCTGCTGCTTGTTTGAGAGATTTTAGGAAAGTCCTAAGCATGGGGCTCAAGAGACCACTTGCATAGAAAAGCCCCTGGAAATGGCCTGGATGAGCTTGCAGGTGGGGAGGGATGGGGTCTCCTGGAATCACCGGGAAGGGGCCAAAGGTGTGAGTCAGATGCTGGCGATTCAAATATGGTGCCTGCCAGCCGGCTGTTTGGTGGGAGGACTCACCAGAGGAGCTGTGGCCTCTGCCAGCTCTTCTGTCTGGGAGGAAGCTGCCCCTTCACCTCTCCCCAAATGTCCCAGGTTCCTTTCAAGCTGCTGTCCTGCATTGGAGCTCAGAGGGAGCGAGTCTGAATAAGTCTGTGCTCTGGCCCTTTAAGAGGAGCTGCCTGGGACTCCCGCACCCTACATGACCCTCATCCACTATCCCCACTGATTTTCATGGCCTGAAGTTGTGGGGACTTCTCTTCCCGGCCCTGAAACCTTGGGCTGGGGCGCCTCGCTCTTCTGGGAGACCTCCACCACCATGATAACCCTCCAGGTTTTAAACAGTGGCACCAGATGTGGGCCAGCTGCTGAGCCTCCGTGATTCAGCCCTGACCTGCCGGCGTCTCTGTCCCTCCTACCGGTCTCCTTGCTTTTTCAGTTCCCTGGTTGTAGGACTTCTGTGCAGCTAGATTTCAGGAGGTTCTGAGTGATGGTGGTTCTGTATTTTAGTTGTAATTTTGATGTGGTTGTGGGAGGTGGCGGGTACTGCTGTTACCTATGCCGCCATCCTGTTATCTCTCTCCAGTTTTTTATTTTTTTAAAAAAATATATCTTTTTTGATTTCAGAGAGAGGAAAGGAGAGGGAGAGACAGTGAGAGAGAAACAGCAATGATGAGAGAGTCGTTGTTTGGCTGCAACCTGCAACACGGGCATGTGCCCTGACCGGGAATCGAACGCCAATCGCCTGGATCCTAGGCTAATGCTCAACCACTGAGCCACGCCCGGCCGGGCTCTCCAGTTTTTAATAAGGCATAGAAATGGGATTTTTACCTTATATTTTATTTCCTATCATTTAAAGTCATTCGTTGATTTGATTAAAAACTTTACTTTATGAACACTGTGGAAATAAGTGTTTTGTAAACATAAAATGCAAGAATTAAAATATATCTTAACACTACTTTTTTAGACTAGGTTAGTTTAAGATGACCCATTTCAGCAAATCTTGGTGTAATATGTGATTTCTAATCATTTTTATGGTTGAGTAGTTAGAATTATACAGGGTAGGTCAAAAGTAGGGTTACAATTTTAATACAAATAAATAATACAATAATTAATAATAATACAAGAATAAACTGTTTTTCACAACTGTAAACCTACTTTTATCACACCCCATATAATAAAACTTTGTTTTATTAACATTCATGGTTATTTCTTGTATTAATCATTTTTTTCTTAGTTGACTCTGTTATAAATATTTTCAAGAGGAACTCCTTTAAAATAAAGTTTCTGACTTCCCAAATATTAAGGTCACTTTTGTTTTCCTTTTTTTTTCAGGCATTACCTGACACTCAGATCACCAATTATGCAGCGACTTTACACCGGAAGAAAACACTGGTACCAGCCCTCTATAAAGTTATTCAAGATTCAAATAATGAGGTAGGAGAGTTAAAAGAAAAATAATTTCAATATAGTAAAATCAAATATGTGTACTAAAACATATATTTAAGTTTTGTAGTTTTCCCTACTCTTTTTCTTTCTTTAAAATCCTTCTTAAGGGACTGGAAAACTTTTTTTTCTGCTGTTTTTCATTCTGATAGTTGCTTTGGCTTTCCCCATGCCCTCTCTCTCCATATTTTTAAATATTTTGATCAGATTTGTTCTTGTTGAGGACACTACATTTTGATTCTTCATCTGAGTGACCATCATCTCAGTAGATTATTTATTTAATTTGAAACTTTTCTCTGTTTCCTTTTCTGGAATGTTTCCTTTTCTGGAAGCCAAATTTTAACCATACACTGATTGAGATTTACGTACTTTAAGTAATGTTTGCAGTTATTTCATTGACAGTATACAACTATGTATAATCACCCTAATCAGTGAACTTAGACTGGTAACATAAAATGATACTGCTAGTAAATTTAGCTTGAAAATGATCAGAGAAAGCACTTTTTAGCCTAAATAGTCAAGATTAATAAACTTAGAATTAGAGTTTTCTATTATTCAGTTTTGTCATAAAAGGAGAAAAATCCAGCTATTGAATATATTTGTTAACTTATGCAAAATACACACATTATCTTTTCATTAACACAATAGTATGACATACAGTTTTATCACCACTGGATTCATGTATGCTTTAAAGTGAAAATGAAAGGAACACACAGGAAAGTAGCTTCTTATCTTCCCAGATACAGCCTCCACGAGTGCCTCTGCTGTGTACTGGAATGAGTTTGAAGAAGTTCAGGTAATCATCTCCTAACCAGCAGCTTAACTTAAAGTGCATCTTCATTTTTGTCCTATCACTAAAAGCTTGCTTATTTACCTCTTTCTTTCCTATCTCCTAAACTTGGATTGGCTCTCAATTAGACTTGCATCTGTTTCTATTTGTAGCAGTAATTGCAGGATTCGTTTGCTTCTTTTTCTTTTGCTGTGTATTTATGAATGTTTTATAACTTTAGGTGTGGTAATGTACATATATGCATATCCTTGGTCAGGAGTTTTCAAAATTCTGTTTGAATAATGAATGTGTGTATTCCCCACCCCTTGTTTTGCATTGTATTAACATTTAAGCTTTGCTTATTAAAATTTGTTTTATGCTTTCTCTTTAGATTGTAAGCTCTTCATGGGCAGTGGTCATATATTCTATATTTGTTACTTTCTAGAATCTAGTATTTTATCATGCACATAATGAACACTTAATAAATATTGATTAGAAGAATACTGAAATATGAAGTGAGATTCTAAAATGCTATCATTTTCATTGGGACTCACAAGTGTATAGAAAGTATCAGTTTACCCTGGGTGGATGGCTTAGTTGGTTGGAGCGTCGTTCCTTATGCCAGAAAGGTGATGGGTTCAGTTTCTAGTCAGGGCACATGCCTAGGTTGTGGGTTTGATCTCCGGTTGGGGTGGGTACGGCAGGTAACAAATCAATGTTTCTATCTCTCTCCCTTCTTCTCTCCAAAAGAAAATCAATGAAAACATCCTCGGGTGAGGATTAAAAAAAAGTATCAGTTTCCCTTTCTTCTCTTATGCTTGGAAGCTATGACATTAAAAAAAGTTATTCACATTATTTTATATTGTCATACTTCAAGATATTACCATATCAGACCTCATCATGGCTAGAAATGGAAAAGTTACTACTTGAGAGATTCAGGGTCAAGACCCAGCAGTCATTATAATCAGCCAGTTGCCCGTGCAGGTCTATCTGTCCATTCTTTCTCGTATCAGGTCATAAAGTTCTAACCATGTGTTCATACCTCAGAAAAACAGCATTAAGCTCTATAGGATCTTAAAGCAATTCTGGACTTTAGTCCTAGAAGGAAGGCCCTTTTAGTCCCAATTTTGTTGTAATCTGAAACATAATCAGATGTACTATTTGTTTAGTTAACGGGAAATTATTTCTGAAAAATGTCATGTGCCATATATAACATTAATTGAAACTTATGACACACACACAAACAATTTTACTTTAAAGACCATAAAAGTTCTTAAGAAAGTATATTTCCAGGTAGTTTAATATATTACATATCATGGCCAACCTGTACTGTAGCTTAAGTTTTAATCTCTACACCAACATACTGCTTTACTTTTCTCCTTTCCCTCCTTCCAGATACCTTAGTCACTCTAGCAGTTCTTCTGCTGCAAGGAAACCTCCATCTTTCTGCACTTTAAATACAAGACTAAAAATCTCTTACAGTCTTACTTCTTTGGTACACTGTCCCACTGTTCATTTTACACCTTTTTTCTCATATTCTTACCTTCCTTACTCCTCATTTTCAGCTTGCTTTTTATGTCATTAAAAAAGAATACAAAAGTAGTTGGGATCTCCCTTATTTTCCCATTCAAATATACCACTCAACCAGCACCTCTACCCACCCTCCCCTGCCTTTTCTGCTATTCAGTGGATGAAATATCCCAGGTTGTATCAAAGACCATCTCTTTCACTTAGGCCTGGATCCTATCTTCCCTAGCCACCTCAAAGTTTGCTCCTGATCTCCTCTTTCCTCCAAGATTGATTTTTTTCTCTTCTCAGTGAATGGAATATGATAAACAACCATATTCTATTTTTTAAAAACCTTCTTTGATTTACCTTTTTATTATCTACCCCATTTCTCTGTTCCTCTTCACAGATGAACCTTATAAAGTATTGCTTATTTATAGCTTCTTTTTATTTGACCCTGTTTCCTCACCTCACATTCTCTCTTTAACCCAAATTGGGCTTCAGTCTCCATTATTCCAGCCAGACTGTCTTAGTAGTTATCATATCAAACTGTTTGCTAATTTGGGGAATGTGTCAGTTATTCTTAAGGTTTTTTTTTAGCTAGAGGAAAATGACTTTTAATACCTTTTGATGTGAATGCTGTCATTTAGGGGAGGTCAGAGTCATGTATGATACTGAGAAATTGAGAGCATGATGGCCTAATACATATGCTGAGAATTAAAGATTTTTTTCACAGATAGCATTGGCAAGTTTTTAACAGTCTTATTTTGCAGTGGTATCTGATTAAAAGTTACTGGGTTTCTAGCCATTCCTCCTCCGACTTTTAAAAAAACAGAGTAATAATTTTCCTCAGCCTGTATTTCTTTGTTATGCTTAATTAAAACATAGTCTCCTGCCCTGGCTGGTTTGGTTCAGTGGTTAGAGCATCGGCCCACAGACTGAAGGGTCACTGGTTCAATTCCAAGTCAAGGGGACATATCTGGGTTACAGGTTCTCCCTGTCCCTATTGGGGTGCATGCAGGAGGCAACCAATGGATGTGTCTCGTCTCTCTCACATCAGTGTTGCTCTCTCTCTCCACTCCCTTCCTCCCTTCTACTCTCTTTCTGAAAAGCAATGGAAAAAAATATCCTCATGTGATGATTAATAAAAGAACAAAACAAAACAAAAATAGTCTCCTACATGTAGTTCTTGCTACTGAGGAAGGAAAGTTAAAATCTTTATAACATAAACAAATCATAATTGTTCCATGGCCAATAAAATTTAGAGAAGGTAATTTTAGAGTCTTACTAAACAGGAAAGTAGATTTAAAACTTGTATATATATTTTTTGGGAGCATTTGAGATCTTGCTTCTCAGCATATATCACCAGATTGACTCAAATAAACTTATAAAAATTAAAAAAACACCACACTATATATATGTAATTAATAAATTTATGATAGCAAAAATCTTTAATATCCCAAAAGACCTGAATATTATTGTCAGTACTTTAAAAAGATGCCAGCAGTTGACTATTTTCAAAAGTTTATTATTTCATTATTGGCACTATGTGGAATATACTGTTTGTAATTGAACAACTCTCCCTTCCTACTCCACCTTGCTCTAATATAAAAAATGTGGTATAGTGGAAACATCAACTTGGTGTCGGAAGACTTGAATTCTGGTGTCTTCCTACACCACCAACTTCTGTGACCTTGGGCAAATTCTCTAATCTAGACTTCATTATAAGGAGAAAGTTGGAATGTTTTTCAAGATTTTGAATACAATGATTGTGATTTCACATAAACTGTTTAGTAGTTACTAGACTAGGATTTGTGTGTATAAATTTTTTTAGCTTTAGATTGTTCCGTAAGAGCTAAGCTTAACTCATCTAAATATATTGTTCCGTAAGAGCTAAGCTTAACTCATCTAAATATATTATNTAGCTTTAGATTGTTCCGTAAGAGCTAAGCTTAACTCATCTAAATATATTACGTATACAATCAACATAGGATTTATTAGCTTTTTATTTACAATTGTGAAAGTAGTGACTTTATTCTAGAATGTTAGTTTATTAAAGATATATATATATAACCATATTTGAGCAGATTTCCAAATGTATATGCATTATTTTAATCATTCAAAATAGGGATAAACATATAAATTACTGAATAATTCATTTTTTTAAACTAGTGTTAAATTGTAAACATTATTTTATAGTATCCTGTCATTGTTTTTTCTGCATTTTAAATGATCTGGCCCAGCCGGGCATGGCTCAGCGGTTGGGCATCAACCTAGGATCTAGGCAATCGGCGTTCGATTCCTGGTCAGGGCACATGCCTGGGTTGCAGGCTCGATCCCCAGTTGGGGGCATGCAGGAGGCATCCGATCAATGACTCTCTCATCATTGATGTTTCTCTCTCTCTCTCCCTCTATTTTCCTCTCTTTGAAATCAATAAAGATATATTTTAAATAAATAAATAAATAAATATTCTGCAGTTATTCCAACAAAACCATTCTAAATTGGCAGTACATGGTTAGGGAAAAAAGGGGAAGATTTATTTAAACTGCTCATTTTCTTCAGTTTTCAAGGTTATAAAGTTCCTTGTAAGTTATATTATTTGATATCATATGAAGAATTATCCAATTAAACATTGGAAAAGCTATTTCTGAATAATTTCCTCCTTTTCAAAATCTTTCAAATAAATATAATTGGTAGAATTTATCAGTCACAAAAAATAAAAGTAATCTGTTTTGTTTTACTTATTAGCTAGCATTAAGTTAAAATATTAGCATTTTGGGTGTCCAAATACTATGTATTGCAAAATCCCTTTCTTTACTGAGTGTTATATAATTTGTTTAAATCATAGTCTTATGTTGATATTTAACTTTAGACAAGATCATTTGAGATTATTTTCTTTCAGTAGAAACTCTTTTAAATGGAGGATAGTAAGGGTTGGTAAGAACAGAAAAGGAAACTTGCTAAATATAAGTGGAGTACATTGGTTAACTAAATTTAGCAGTACAGTGTATTAAAAATTATGTTGACATTATGTGGGCACAATACTTCTTATAGTTAGTATATTAGTCAGTTTAATATATAGTCTCTGAACATAGAGATTAAGGTTTTGGTTGCATTGATTCAAAAATGCAAGAATTAATGTTGAGAACTTAGCTTGAAAATATTATATAAGTATATGTGCCTTTAAAAAAATCCAGTTATAACCAAAAGAACGGAAATAGCTAATGCACTTCATTTTCCTTTTAGCTTCTGGAACCTGTCTGCCACCAGCTGTTTGAGCTCTATCGTAGCTCTGAAGTTCGACTTAAGAGATTCACACTGCAGTTCTTGCCAGAATTGATGTGGGTTTATTTACGGCTTACAGTTAGCCGAGACAGACAGAGTAATGGTTGCATTGAAGCTCTACTGTTAGGAATTTATAATTTGGTAAGTTGAAAATGATAGTGTGGAGAATTTTAAGTATTTTTTAAAGTCCTCTGAAGTAATACTTAAAGAATATTTGAGAGAAAAATTGAAATGTCTACTGAATAATTATTTGAGTTAAATTGAGTGCAGAGGTGCTTAATAAGTACTGATAATGCATTTTATAAAGTAGGTGAAGCTACTGTAATTGACAGCATTGTTAATATTTCATGGCATATTTCTTCAAGTTATTTTGTTTGACCAATATTTATAAATGCTGTGCAGTTAAAAATTTTTTAAAATAATTATTTGATAATATATTATGTATTTGATACAATATTATTTATAAAACTTTTTTTCTGAGGAATTCTTAAGTACTTTGAACATTATTCTTCTGTGTATTTTTTTTCTCATGATACCCATTTTAGAACATTGGTATTGAAACTCCTGCCCTTTGAAGTCTTATATCTTGTGTATTTGGTATGCATTATAAACAAACACTCCACATAATAAGGTTTTATAGTTGAGAGATAATAAAGTACCTCATAAAATATTGAATCTCACAATAAATGATATTCTGCACCAGTGGTTGCTCCTCTAAGTATTATCCTTAAATAATCATTAGAAAACATTTCTATCACTAGAACATATATCTGGAGGGAGGAGTGTGCATGGCCTTTGGAGTCACTTACATTTTGTTTAAAACCAGGCCCTGCTACTTGTTGGCTGTTTTAAATTTGGCCAAGTTACTTAATATCTGGACTCTAGTTGCCACCTCTGTAAAAGAGAAATAAAACATTGTTATAGGATTAAAAACTATTAGAAAAATCCAGCATGGTGCCTGTGCTGTTTAACTAATTATTTTTATGATTACTATTAGTATCAATTGAAGGTGAGTTTTTAAAATGAAAAGCTGACCTAGGTATAAAATTCTCTTTTTTGCTAATTTGCCTGATGGTTGTTTTTTTTTAAAAAGCAGGAAATTTGTATCCTATATCACTGTGTCTCCTCTAGTGCTTAGCACAGATATTTAATAAATGTTTGTTGGTTTAATAATTGAATTTAGTGTTTTAGATTATGTTTTGCATTATGCTATCACTTTTATTAATTTGATTAGTGTAATAAAATTCAGTAGTGGGACAAGTGAAGCAAAAATATTTTGTATAGCGGAATGCTTGACAAGTTCTTGACAGTACTTGGTGCTGTGGTTTAATTGTCTTTTGGCATCTCAAAAATACTGTACTATAAAAAAATTGCTCAATTGTATGTCAGAAATGTAACCTCAGGCTTTCGTTGTCCTTTAATTCCCTTGATATCTGTGTTCTTTCTTCTCTGTGGTACTCAGTTTTTCTTACCACACTGGTTTTCTTTTATATACATATTTCTCTTTTTTCTTTCCCTCTCTAGCACTTCTCCTTTGTTTAAGATAGCCTCAAGGAGAGTTTTATATTGCCCTTAGCTTAAACAAATTTCAGAACACACTTCTCCACAAATACTCACAAATGTACATCAAAAGTATTAGGCTTAATTTAAAATTTAGGAATAAAAATTAAAATTTTATTGCCTAACTTAAGTCATGTCCATTCATCTTAGCTAGCATACATAGACTATCTCTCTGAGGAACAATGGCCCAGATGTGGTGTTAACTAGTTTACCTACAAAGTAGGTAAATAATCTCTCTCAGGAATTTTAAAACCGATTTTCCTGCAAAATTAGAGGTAGGATCATCATTCACATATAATTGGTACTCTCCTATGATACATAAAACTCAGAAATGAGCCCTGTAGGGATGTTTTTCTGGGTTTGTGTTTTGGTGATGGTAATTGTTTTTATAGTTGTTGCTTTCTTTTATGTTAACTACTTAGTCTTTCTCTGACCACCTTCGTGCTAGGTCTAGTAAGGGCAGTCTTCTCTATAAATTTTATGCCCATTATGTACTAATACGAGTTGTAAAAGAAACAGACTAAAGTGAGGCAGTAGAGATAGGGAGTGATTGCAGGAGGAGCATTTCACTCTAATTGCTGGCATCTGTAGGCAGATTTTTATTGATACCTGTAGAAGATTGGAGGTAAAAATGGACACATTGTCCTTTTCAATGAAAAATAAAGTGCTTTTAAAATTCACAAGAATTTTCTTGCAGTTCAGTAAGAATTACCTAAATATGATCTTATTTTTAGTCACTTAGAGTAATAATTAATATGTAGCTTATTTGAAGTCATTAGTTTAAAGGTCTAATCACTTGTAATCTCCCTGTCCTGTGTGAAAATTTAACATGAAAACTGATTTGTGTGCCTGCCTCACGTCTGTGCTGTCATGCTGTATTCGATTTACTTAGTATTACACTCAAATCTCTCAAAGGATAATTCAACCACCAAAGTGTACGGATTTGCTAATTTAGCAAAGATAAACCAGGGTAGTAATATTTTTTTATATATTACTATTTCGAAAAATCTTCCTCAGTTACCAATGATATGTTTGGTAAATTAAGAAAGTATTATTTCTAATAGTCCTGTGATTATTTATCTTTGTGTATTTTTTTTAACTATAGGAAATTGCTGATAAAGATGGAAACAATAAAGTTCTATCTTTTACTATCCCTTCTTTATCTAAGCCTTCAATATACCATGAGGTAAGTAAGATTTTTCACCAGCATCATTTTCAGTTTTTTTATTAGTCTTTTATGAATTTTCAAAAATATTCTTTAATTTTTTAATTTAAATTTTTTTTATTTTTCCATTACAGCTGACATACAATATTCTTTAAATTTTTAAGTCTTCCATTTTAATTAGAAATCATCTATGTTTGGATTTTATGATTTTTTAGGAAAATGGCTACTTAGAATATTACCCCGTAATTACTATATTTCCATTTAAAGGAGTCTGATGCATTCTAGTTTTTCACTAACATTCCACTTCTGTCTTTTGCTTATATTTATTTGGTTGAACAACGTGAGAATTCTGATTATCATATGGGCAATATGGCTCCTGTTGAGCTGAACTTCTTCTGTCTCCTCTCTTTAAGGATATGTGTTGTGAATCACGCTTCTGATCTCTAGTGGCTTTTAGTGCATAAAGTCATGAGGAAAGCATTTAAAGAAGCTTTACCAGTAGTCTAAAAATTATATTCCATTTTTCTTATCAACAGTCAGTATCCTGTTGTCTCATAGCTCTAGGCAGCTTTTTTTTTTTCTTAATGAAGTCTCTGGGACTTTGTTTTCTGTTGGAAACAGAATGCCTCCTATTTAGCCAGTACTCATTTTAACAGAATATTTTTGAGTAATTTAATTTTAATTAAGTTCTGTGAATCATTTTATGAAATAAAATGGAGGATAGTAAAACATTTATGAATAGGTGGTTTTTCTAACTATAGAAACATAAAATCAGTTATGTCACTATTTAAAGAGACATTTGATCATAGCCTTCAATATTGTTTATAACTTTCTATACCTTGCTGTCTCCATTGTAGATTGGGATTAATGAGAGTACTTACCTACCTAAAGTTAGATAAACTTCACAGTTTGAATGCACAGTCCCCAAGACTGCTCATGTTCTAGAATACAGACAAATTAAAATTGATGTATTGTAACCTTTAGTCTTTTCAGCAACTTATATGTCCCCTAAATATAGATTCATTTCATAACCTTTCAAAAATTAAATCAGTATATTTTTAGTTTTATATATTTTAAATATATATATGTAAAATTTTAAAATTTTCAAAAAGAGCTGTAGAATGTATATAAGTGAAAAGTGGGCCCAGTTGGTATGGCTCAGTGATTGACCAAGAGGTCAGGGTTTGATTTCCGGTCAGGGCACATGCCCGGGTTTCGGGCTTGATCCACAGAAGGGGGCGTGTAGGAGGCAACCGATCAATGACTCTCATCATTGGTGTTTTAACTCTCTCTTTCCCTCTCTTTCCTCCCTCTGAAATCAATAAAGATATATTTTTAAAAAATTTTAAAAAAATGGAAAGGGTTTTGAAAGAGAAGAAATGATCTGAAACTGCCTTTTGGTGAAACAAAATTAAATATCTTTATGTGATATAGACTTTTACTTCATTTTAGAGGCACAATCTCATACTTTACCTTATTTTTATAGCCCTCAACAATTGGATCCATGGCTTTGACTGAAGGGGCATTGTGTCAGCATGATCTCATCAGGGTTGTCTATAGTGATCTTCATCCTCAGAGGGAAACATTCACAGCACAAAACCGGTAATGGTCAAAACTGTAGACTGTAATAACTGTTAATTTATGCTTAGTAGTTAACTAATTACTTTGGTTCAAGTTTGGAATAAAAAGAGGCAAAAGGTTAAATATATGGTACTAGTGAAAGTACATCATAGCAGTAAAGTACCCATCCATCTAGTGCTAGTTACTATGTTGTGGTCATCTTGTATAAAGCAATGTAAAACCTAAAAGTTTAGGCATGAAGTCAGCCAAACTTAGAATATTGCCCTCTCAGGCAGTTTATCTACTCTCTACACCTTGCTCTCTTCATTGTAGAATGAATTAATGAGAGTACATACCTACTTGAAATTAGACAAACTGCAGAGTTTGAATGCATAGTCCACAAGACTGCCCTCACTTCTGACACCAGTTTCAAGTTTGGGGGGGTTCCCATAATCACTCTTAGGTTTGATAACTCTCTAGAAGGATTCATAAAACTCAGTGAATGAAAGCTATTATATTCACAATTATGGTTTATTACAAGGAAAGGATAACAGATTGAAATCAGCCACGTCCTCGCCAGCACTTGTTTTCCATCTTTTTTATTATAGCCATCTTAGTGGTAGTGAAGAGGGGTATTTCATTGTGCCATTGTTTTGTTTTTGCATATATTTTTTTGTACAGTCAACTATATCAGGAATACACTTATGCATATACACATACATATATATGTTTTTCAGAATTAGATAGGCACTAGTTCTATACAGTTTATTAAGAAAAACTGCATTCTTCAGCTCCCCCTCCCATTTCTCTTCCCCAGATGTAACAACTTTTAACAAGGGTTCTCAATCAGGGCTCTCTCCCATCCCCACCCCAGCCCCGGAACATTTGGCAATGTCTGGAGACTTGTTAGATTATCACAATCGGGTTGGAGGGAGGGCTACTACAGGTATTATGTGTAGAGGTCAGGGATGCTGCTCAACATTCTGCAATGCCTTGGCCAGTCCACCACAACAAACACTTATCTAACCCAAAATGCCAGTAATGCTGAGGTTGAAAAACCTTGCTTTTAACTGACTCTTAATATTTACCTCTACATTTTTGAATAATTTGCTGCTTCTTAATTTTCAGTTTTAGGCATTATCAATTAATGTATTTCAGTAAAAGATTGTGATTTAGTTCATTACCTTTCTCATTCTCTTATATTTTCAAGGTAGTTATATTGTAATTGTGGGAAACTCATTATTCAGATTTCTCATTATTATGAATGACCATGGTTCATTCAGAGCTGTTTAGTGCTGAGTTTTGTGATTAACTGATTCCTTTTCCTTTCCTTTATATCTTTATATTTTCCTTGGAGTTCATAAGTGGTTTTTTACTTTATTATGTGCTTTGTAATCCAAGCTCTGCAAATCCTCTTATCAGTTGTCTTAGTCTCCTTTCAAGTCTTCATTACATGAATCATTTTCTCAATTTTATTTTCCTGAAAAAGTGGCTCCGGAGCCTTTGACTTACTCCAATCTGGACTGTGTTACCCTCTTTGCCTGGTATACACTTACTATCTTAGGATCTCCTTCCTTCTTACCCTGGAAATTCCCTTGGTCTTTTTCCTATTGAATCTACTGTTGGCTATATTCTGTATCTTCATTCTTTGTTCCTGGTATTCTGAAATTCCACTGTGGTATTACTTGGGGTGGGTTTATTTATTCCATTATGCTGAGCACTAGGTGGATGCTTATGATTTGGAAATTCATGTCTTTCAGGCTGAAAAATGTTCTTGAATTATTTTTGTTAATTAGTTTGGCCTCTCCATTTTATCTGGTCTTTTGTTATGTCTTCTGGAGCTTTTATTATTTGGATGTTGAAACTCCTGGAGTGGTCGTCTCTTCTCTCCTATTTGCCATATCTTTTTTCTTTTGCTTTACTTTACTTATATTCTCAACTTCATTTACCAGTCCTTTTTGAGTTTTTAACTTCTGCAGTTATATTTTGTATATCTAAAAGTCTTTCTTGTTCTCTGAATGATCTTTAAAATAGATACTGGTTTTGTTTTGTTGGTGTGTTGTTTTTCTGAAACATATATTTTCGAGAATATTGATAATTTTCTTTATTCAAAATTTTCTTTACTTCTTTGTATATTCCTCTAAAGTGTACTTTTTTCCTATTTTTTATTTTGATCTTATTTTCATGTTAGTGGAATTCCTTAGATAGATGTCTTTTCTCTCCCTTTTACAGGCGTCGGCAAAAGTAGGTTTACAGTTGTTCGTATGGAAAAAGACAGGCAGGTTATGATCATTACAATAGCTTTATTAACTCAAAAGAATGTCACAATGGCACAGTGCCTGTCTTTTTCCATATGAACAACTGTAAACCTCCTTTTGCCCACCCCTGTATTGAAGAGTAGGGGAATAAAAAGTGAGGAGCTTTAACCATGTTAGTAGGACTACTTGACTATGAACTCTACAACTTCTCACTGGGCCATTCAGTTGGGGAACTTTCTAAGTTCATATCTTTAAATCTTTCCTCTTAGAGTGGTCAGATTCCCTAGAGAAAGCTCTTCTAGTCTGTTAACTAGAGAGCTAGCTGCTAGCATTCTGGTGGCCAAGTGGGGAAGGAGAGCTTGAGGTCTCGATTTCCAGTAAGGTATGTTTCACATAATGTTCCTGTTTTCAGTATGGTATCTTTCTCCTCCAACCCCTACCCCAAACCACAGTTGTGCCTGGTGGTTCCTAGGTAGAAATTTCTTTTTTCTTCTTTCAGAAAAAAAAATCTTAAATTTTAGATAATCTTCAATAAACCAAGTAACAAAGATAAGAAGAAGGGATCTGAACATATGACTGCTTCTGAGTCAGACTTCAACTTAGTTTTTAGCTTTTCATTTTGAAATAATTTCAGACTTACAAAAACTGTTGCAAAAATTATACAAAGAGTTTCAATATACTCTTTACCACCTGTGGGAAACTTTTTAGAAGTACAAACTTGGGCCCTGCTCTAAGAGATTCTAGTGGGTCAGTCTGGGTTGAGACACAGGAATATATTTTTCCAAAAGGTCCTTAAATAACTATAATGTGCATCCAGCTTTAGGAGCCATTTTCTTAGATGTTGTAAAGATTAGGAAAGCATTCTTTGTTCAATAAATATTTATTATAATATCATAATGTATTAGACACTGTGTTGGACACTAGAGGTAGAAACACATATATCAGGGTCTTGTCCCTAGAGTTGTTTATTACCAAATGGACAAAACAGAGATAAACACAGAATTATGATTCAGTGGGATAAATGCTGTATTAGAGCTACATAGATAAGGGAATAGTTTCCTTCAGCTGGGAGAATTAAGAACAGCTTTATGTCTAAGGTAAAAATTTGAGCTAGGACTTGAAACCTTACCAGGAGTTTTCTAAGTGTGTTCTAGTAAGAAAGAGTAGCATGCATAAAAGCAAGTTGTTATGAAAGGTTTCGGCATATTCATCGAGTGGTAAGATTGATGTTGTGTGGTGTATGTAGTAGGCAGTGGAGGTAGAGTAAGGTTGGAGAGGTAGGATGAGGGTAGATTTTAAAAGGACCTTCTGTGCCATGATGAGTTTGGATTTTATCATGCAGTCAGTAGGAACAGTGGACTAATGTAGATGGAATGATCTGTTTAAGCATGATGGTTTATTTTTTGAGGAAGAATATAGATGGTAGCAAGGAACATGACCTTTAAAAAGGAAAATAGAAATGGGAAACGTTGAGGAAGAGACTATAGTAGTCTGAGAAATCGTGAAAATCAGTGTTAAGGCATTGTTATAACCATTCAATGAAGAAATCATTTACTACAGTCTCTAGTACAAGTGATTATTTATAATCATTTCCACTTTTTGTTTTTTCTAGGTTTGAAGTCCTGAGTTTTCTCATGTTGTGTTACAATTCTGCTATTGTGTATATGCCTGCTTCATCTTATCAATCTCTTTGTCGGATGGGCTCCAGGTGAGAATAATAATTATTATTAACCTTTATATTTGTTTATTTGACAAATACTTATTGAGCATATTTTCCATGGTAGGCACTATTCTGATGATATAGCAGTAAATAAAACTTATGGAGCTTACATTCCTGTAGGAATCCTTATCATCTCTCATGCATCATAACTTTTTGAAAATATTTCAGCATTAAAAAAACGTATTTCCTATATGAACATCAAGTTAAGCCAACATGTCTTAAGCTTAGAGTGGTTTAGTGATATACCTAATCATTTTGAGAGCTTTGAATAAATAGTCCTATATGTGAAATCTTAAGGAATGTGAACCTTTTTCTTTATATATTTCACAAATAAAAATCTCTGCTTTGAATAAGAAAATTAGCAATAGTACCAGTTACATATCTCATTTGTATTTGTGCTTCCTAATCTTTACTAAATCAGAATTTCTAATAATTTGGACAGACCTGGTCTGAAATTTAAATATCCACTGTAGATAGAAAACTTAAGTAATATAAATCAGTTTGGAGATGGAGGACATTTAGAGTTACAGAATTTCAGTTATAGGAGGAACACTGAGTTCATCCTGTTCAGCTGATTTTTAAAAAATTATTTATTGATTTTTGGAAAGAGAAAAAGAAAGAGAGATCTGTTTGTTGTTCCACTAATTTATGCATTCGTTTTTTGCTTTTTGTACATACCCTGACCAGAGATTTAACCTGCGACCTTGGCATATCAGGAAGACATTCTAACCGGCCAGGGTTCAGCTGATTTTTACTTTAAGAAACTGAGCCCCTCCAAAGGGTTAAATGCTATGTTAGTTTCTATTGCCTCTTAACAAATTACCACAAACTTAGCACCTTATAACAGTACACATTTATTATTTCATAGTTTCAGTGTATATGGAGTCTAGGCATGCTTAGGGTCTTACAAAGCTGCAGTTAAGTTGTTGGCTGGATTTGCAGTCTTATCTGAAGCTCAGTTGAAGAATGACACACTTTTGTTGGCAGAATTCAGTGCCTGTAGTCTAGGACTGAGGGCTTCAATTTCTTGTTGGCTGTCTGCTGAAGACTGGTCTTGTTCTTTGCCATGTGGGCCTCTCAACATAGGCTACCTATAACATTACGGCTTACTTCTTCAAAGTATAAGAGTGAAAGAGAGAACAGCACTACATTCTTAAATAACATAATCAGGTACACATAATCATGGAAATCCCATCACCTTTGCCATGTTCTGTTGGTTAGAAGCAAATCACAAGTCTCACCCACACTCAAGAAGAGGAAATGACACAGGGTAAATACCAGGAAGGACAGATCATAGAGGTCACAGCCCCCAAAGGTCTGCTCATTGCAAATTCTTTTTTTTTTTTTTTTTTTAATTTTTTAATTTATGTTTTTATTGATTTCAGAGAGAGGAGAGGAGAGGGAGAGAGTGAGAGTGATAGAAACATCAGTGATGAGAGAGTCATTGATCGGCTGCCTCCTGCATGCCCCTTACTGGGGATCGAGCCCACAACCCAGGCATGTGCCCTGACAGGGAATGGAACTGTGACCTCCTGGTTCATAGGTCAGCACTCAACCACTGAGCCACCCTGGCCAGGCCATCGCAAATTCTTTGTTCAAGTTCATGCTATTATGCTGCTGGGAAGAGAGTGTGGTCCTGTTTATAACAAAACTAAATTTTGCTAATTAGAGGAAGGCCAATCCAAATTAGTTGTACGTTGTTTATAGATGATCTTAAAATAGGTATATTATTTTCACTTCCCTATAACAACATGATTAGTAACTAACAAAGTTCTTGTCTCTAACCTAGATACTGTTATCAAGAGAATACACTGTTTAAGCACTTACTGCCTATCTACAGATAAATTTACTTATAACACTATTTTCAGTTCATTAAAACAAGTCTGCTGAATCTTTAATTGGAAACATTATTGTGGCATTTTAGAACATTTCCTAACAACAGAAGTGATTGGCAGAGTTCACATATTCTTTAAATAATTTTGAAAATCTGTGTACCCCTTGTACATTTTTAAGTTAACATTTAAAATTTTTCATCTTATCTTAAATAATAGCAAATGATATTATTTCCAGTAACTATTGACATAATAAGACAAATAGTGGTTGGGTCAATATTTTAAATGTATATAATGTAAATACTGTAGTAATCTGATCCCCACTGTTGTCCATTTGAGGAATAAATTAACAAGCTTTTTTTTTAATGGTCTGACGACATACAGTGTGGGGCAAAAGTAGGTTTACAGTTGTGACTATGTGAAACACAGTTTATTCTTGTATTATTATTAATTGTATTATTTTCCATACTCAACTATAAACCTACTTTTGCCCTACCCTGTATTTTCATTTTTCTTCTTGAAGTTGAATTTTCATTATATTTTACCCACATATTTTATACTAATATAAAGCTATTTTATTGATCACCTAATTATATATCTCTGCTACAAAAATATGTACACGTAAACTGAAATTGGGGAAAAAAAATTCCTGAGACTATGATGCACTAAAAACTAAAGTATTTCTTCTGAACTCACCATTACAGTTATTTCAATAAATAAATAAATTAATTAAAATAATATAGGTATGTTACAACTTTTGATAATTATTAAGCATAATTTTCTGGAAGCATTTTTTAAGGAGAAGGAAGGTAGAGGATTGTTTATGGTACTTTGAATAAAAATGGTCTCACAGACATCAGTAGTTTGAAATGTCCCTTTTTTTTGCTTTGAGATTTCTGTATTTCCCACTAAGTCATTCCTGATAAAATTTGGAATGCAAGAAAGTTTTGCATTTATTTTGTGAAGAGAGAGAAGGATGAATTTGAAAGACTTGGCTATTTGAGAAAAGTTTTTATTGATATAGTCCACTAAAATATACGTTTTATGAGGGCACAGATTTTATTTTTATTTACTTTTGCCTGTTCACAACTGTATACCTTGTCCCAGGACAGTGACTGGTACACAGCAGGTATTTAATAAAAGTTTGAGGAATAAATAATTGAATAAATGAATTTATAAAAGCAAAATATTTGATTCAACAGAACAGAAAATCACACATGATGAATACTGTATTTTCCTAGGGTTTGTGTGAGTGGGTTTCCACGGCAACATGACAAACACTGGAAAGAACTCTGTGGTCGAATAGTATTGGATCCCGAATTTATGGTGCAACTTCTCACAGGGGTTTATTATGCCATGTAAGTAGGTGGACTATTACATTGGGTGAATTCTTCCTAATATTTAGAAACTGAATATTTCTCGTTTTTTCCTTATCACTTGCACAACACTGAATCTCTTATTCCATAATGGACCCAGTATCTTGTTTTTCTAATATGAACACCTCTTAGTACTTTTTAAAATGAATGTACTTTTTAAATTTGAAAACACTATAATAACTATTGAAGACAATTTTTATTGAGATATAATTCACATATAAGATTTTATTAGTTTTAGGTCTGCAGCATGATTAGACATTTTATATTGTAAAATGGTTACCACAATAAGTTTAGTTAACATTCATTACCACACATAGTTACAGACTTTTTTCCTTGAGATGAGAACTTTTAAGACACTCTTACCAACTTTCTAATATACAGTACAATACAGTAATCACCAGGCTGTACATTATATCCCCAGGACTTATTTATCTTATAACTGAAAGTTTGTACCTCTTGTCCCCCTTCACCCATTTTGCTCACCCCTCCTCCCCAAACCTTCACCTCTAGCAAACACCAGTCTGTTCTCTGCATTTATGATTTTGGGTGTTTTTTTGTGTGTGTTTTGTTTTTGTTTTTAGTTGTTGGTTCTTTTTGGTGTTTTTTTGTTTTTACATTGCACATATAAGTAAGATCATACAGCATTTTTTACTTTTTTGGTCTGATTTATTTCTCTTAACATAATGCCCGCAAGGTCCATCCATGTCACAAATAGCAGGATTAGCTTCTTTTTTATGGCTGAGTAATAGTCCTGTGAGTCTCTCTGTCTTTATTTATCTGTCAGTGAACACTTAGGTTAGGTTGTTTTCATGTCCTGGCTATTGTAAATAATGCTGTAATGAACATGAGAGTGCAGATATCTTTTTGAGATAGTGATTTTCCTTCAGACATATAGAAATTGCATTGCTGGATCTTATGGTAGTTCTACTTTTAATTTTTTGAGGAACCTCCATACTGTTTTCCATAGTGGCTGCACCAATTTACAATTTACCAGTGGTGCACAGGGTAGCCTTTTCTCCACATTCTCATTAATACTTGTTATTTCTGGCCTTTTTTATAATAGCCATTCTCAAAGGCATAAGATGACATCTCATTGTGGTTTTGGTTTATATTTCCCTGATAATTAGTGATGTCGAGCACCTTTTTAAATACCTGTTAGCCATTTATGTATATCTTCTTTGGGAAAAAGTCTAAATTAGGTATTAACCCCTTATCAAATACATGGTTTGCAAGTGTTTTCTCCCTTTCCATATGTTGCCTTTTCATTTTGTTAATGGTTTTCTTTGCTGTGCAGAAACTTTTTAGTTTGATATAGTCCCACTTGTTTATTTTTGCTTTTGTTTCTTTTGCTTTTGGTGTCAAATTCAAAAAAATCATTGCCAATACCAGTGTCAAAGGGCCTTACTGCATGTGTTTTCTTCTAGGAGTTTTATGGTTTCAGGTCTCACATTCAAGTCTTTAATCCATTTTAAGTTGATTTTTGTATAAGGCATAAGATAGTGGTCCATCCAGTTTCATTCTTTTGCATGTGGCTGTTCAGTTTTCCCAAAACCATTTACTGAAGAGACTATTCTTTCCCTATTGTATATTTTTGGTTCCTTTGTGCTAAATTGATTGACCATATAGTCATGGGTTTATTTAGTTGATTTTTATTGATTGATTTGGGAGAGAGAGGAAGGGGGGGAGAGAGAGAAACAAGGAGAGAGAGAAAAACATTGATTTGTTTTTCCACTTACTAATTTATTCATTGGTTGAATCTTATATGTGCCCTGACCAGGAATGGAACCTCCAACCTTGTGGTATCAGGACAACAGTCTATCAAACTGAGCTATCTGGCCATGGTGTGTGGGTTTATTTCTGGGCTCTCTATCCTGTTCCATTGAACTGTGTGTGTTTTTATGCCAATACCATGCTTTCTTGATAACCATAGCTTTATAATATAGTTTGAAATCAGGAAGCATAATGCCTTCAGTTTTTGTTCTTCNTGAGCTATCTGGCCATGGTGTGTGGGTTTATTTCTGGGCTCTCTATCCTGTTCCATTGAACTGTGTGTGTTTTTATGCCAATACCATGCTTTCTTGATAACCATAGCTTTATAATATAGTTTGAAATCAGGAAGCATAATGCCTTCAGTTTTGTTCTTCTCAAGATGGCTTGGCTGTTCAGGGTCTTCTGTGATTTCATACAAATTTTAGGATTGTTTATTTCTGTGAAAAATGCCACAAGAAATTAGATAGGGATTACACTGAATCTGTAGATTGCTTTGAGTATTGTGGACACATTAACAATATTAATTCTTCCAGTTCATGAACTTGGAATAGCTTTCCATTTATTTATGTTCTTCAATTTTTTTCACCAGTATCTTATATGAAAACTGTAAGTATACAGTGTACAGGTCTTTTCCTCCTTGATTAAATTTATTCCTAGATATATTTTTTTTGATGCAATTGTAAATGGGACTGTTTTCTTAATTCTCTTTCTGACAGTTTGTTATTAGTGTATAGATATGCAACTGATTTTTGTATATTGATTTTGTATCCTGCAACTTTATTTGTCATTAGTTCTAACAACTTTCTGGTGGAATCTTTAGGGTTTTCTGTGTATAACATTATGTCATTTGCAAATAGAGACAGTTTTACTTCTTCCTTTCAGATTTGTGTGCCTTTTATCTTTTTCTTGCTTAATTGGTATTACAGTACAAGGACTTCCAGTACTATGTTGAATAAAAATGGCTAGAAAAAAAGGTTTTAGTTCACTGCTGAGTATGATATTAGCTGTGGGCTTATCATATATGGCCTTTATTTTGTTGAGGTACATCCCCTCCATACCCACTTTTTTGAGAGTCTTTATTATGAATGGATGTTAAATGCTTTTTTTTTTTTTTTTTTTGCATCTATTGGGATGATCATAGGATTTTTATCCTTCATTTTGTTAATACAGTGTCTCACATTGAATTGCAGATGTTGAACCATCCTTGCATTCCAGGGTTAAATCCTACTTGATCATGATGTATGGTTTTTTTAATGTATTGTTGAATCAGGTTTGCTAATATTTTTTTGAGGAATTTTGCACCTGTGTTCATCAGGAATATTGGCCTGTAATTTTCTTTTCTTGTAATGTCTTTGTCTGATTTTGGTATCAGGGTAATACGGGCTTCATAAAATGAGTTGGGAAGTGTTCCCTCCTTTCCTCTTTTTTTGGGAGAGTTTGAGAAGGATTGGTATTTTTTAAAATATTTGGTAGAGTTCATCCACAAAGACATCTGGCCTGGACTTGTGTTTATTGGGAGGTTTTTGATTGCTAATTCAATCTCCTTGTAATCAGTCTGTTCAGATTTTCTATTTCTTCATGATTCAGTCTTTGTAGATTATATGTTTCTAGGAATTTATCCATTTCTTCTAGGTTGTCTAATTTGTTGGCATATAATTTTTCATAATCCCGTTAGTACTTTTAAAATAGCCAAACTAGCCTAACTGGCGTGGCTCAGCAGTTGAGCATCGACCTATGATCCAGGAGATCGAGGTTCGTTTTCCAGTAGGGGCACATGCCCAGGTTTTGGGCTTGATTCCTGCAGGGGGTGTGCAGGAGGCAGCAGATCGATGACTCTCTCATCATTGATGTTTCTATCTCTCTCTCCCCCTCCCTTCCTCTCTCTGAAATCAATAAAAAACAAAAAAATTAAAAATAATTAAATAGCCAAAATATAATATAACTAGTCATTAAATTGGAGTCCAGAAATTGTCGAGGTTTTCTCTATGGAAAACTGTGTTTCTTTATGTAGTTTATAACCCAGGTTTTCACAAATGCATTAAATATCTACACGTGATAAAAACCAATTCATGTGAAGAGACATCTGTAAACTATTTTAAACTTTAATATCTGAAATTTTCACTTTGTTATTGTAACCAAAAGGGGGATAGTTTAGAAATGGAATGATGCAGAAATTGATGTGAAATCTTATTTGTGAATCAAAATAGTAGGACTTTGAGCTATATAAAAAGGTTGTTGTTGAATATTAAAGTTATTTGCTAAGGATAGTAAACAATCTGCTTCTCCTTAGGTATAATGGACAGTGGGACCTTGGCCAGGAAGTTCTTGATGACATCATTTATAGAGCTCAGCTAGAACTCTTTTCTCAACCACTATTGGTAAGTGAAAATATTTACTTTTTATTAAACATACCTGTGCCTGTCGAGGACACAAGAAATTAATATATAATATATGAGGCAGTCCAAATCACTGAGGAAAAGGGTTTATTCCACAGTAACAGTTGGTTAACTATTAGAAAGAAAACAAAATTGGTTTAGATCCTCTCCTCCTACCATATATCAAAATACAATTAAAATAAATTAAAGAATTAAATGTTTTGAAGCCCTTTAGGAAAGAGAGGGGGAAAGGTTATATTTACTCAAATTTCTATAGGAAGAAGGACTTTCTAAGCTTAAATGAAATGACAAGTCACTAAAAAACGGTTGATGAGTTTTGACCATATAAACATCTAAATTCTAAACCACCAGTGTCTTAAAAAGAAAGTTAATATGCAGTGTACAAACTGAAAAAAAGTATTTTCAACAAGCATGACAAGAAAGCCAATTAACACTTTGTTTATATGAAAAAATTTTATACTCTGTCACAAAATAAATATATCTTTAAAAGGTAAATGATTAATCTAAAAACAAATGTAAACATCTGCCCTGGCTGGGTGGCTCAGTTGGTTGGAACCTTGTCCTGTACATCAAAGTGCCATTTCCTGTCAGGGAGCATACCTAGGTTGTGGGTTCGATCCCTGGTAGGGGCACATATGGGAGGCAACCAATAGATGTTTGTCTTTCAGTCTCCCTCTCTCTTCCCCTCTCCCCCTTCTTGTCTCTCTAAAATCAATAAAAAACATATCCTCGGGTAAGGATTTAAAAAAAAAAAAAAGTAAACATTTAATAGTCGGCTATGGAAGGCATTTTTACGTTACCAGTAGAGTATAACACAACTCTAAACACCCCTCTGCAGAAGCTGCCTGGTGATGTCCATTTGTTTTGTTTGACTCACTATTCCATGTCTAGCAACATATCCCAGAAAACTACCCTAAATTTTTAAAAAATGTATTATAAGCACAGCATTAGTGTTATTTTTAATTTCAAAGGAATCAAACAGTTTAAATGTTCCACAGCAAAGAATGATTAAGTTGTCTGTTTGCTTGGTGAAATTATGTATTTGAAAATTTATATTAAAGAAAGGTGCTAGCTTGTGTTAAGTGGTAAAGCAGTATATAACTTTTTTTAAATCTATAGATAGGACAATATGAAACATAACAAAATGGCAATAGTTGTATAGGCGATTTGACTGGATGATTTTTATTTCTTGCAATTTTCTGTTTTCTCAACTTTTAATAGTATTTTTATAATGGTATTTTAAAAATATGTATGTACTTTTACTTCCTGTGCTTTAAGAGTACAGTTTTTAAAAGCCATTTTCCTATCTTTTTTGCATTTTAAATTTCCATTTTTTTCTAATGTCATCATCCCTAATTTTACTCTTAAGATTTACATTAAAATGAATGAATAACAAGATTTTAAGAATTATATTACAGTAATAATACCTTGCACTTGCCGACTCTTTAAATTCATACTTTTACTTTTGTAACAATTTTCTAAGTTAAGTAGAGGGGCATTTCCAAGGCAATATAGTTAAAGAGATTAGTAATCTCTAGTCCTGGAATAGTTCTTTATTATTGGGGGTCCCTGAGGGACCTACTGAATAACACTCCTTTTCTCTATTCAAATCTAGAGCCACATGATAACTAGATAAGATAGCTGGCAAATAGAGAAACAAACATCATCTTTAGTACTGATAAGGGCTATACTGAAAGACTTAACTCCCCACTCCTCAATCTAGACCTTGGAACAACTCCCTGGAGAGAACTTTTGAGTTGGTAGAGAAGGCACATTTATCTAGGTTGCTACCTTCCACTTGCCCTTGTCCAAGTGGAGAGGGAGGGAGAAAGACAGTCCTCTATCTCAAGATCTTTGCCAGATTATCACTACCCAATTAAGAAACATAAACCAATTAATGGCAATTACTTTGAACCACATATTTTACTCTCCACGGAGGGCAGAAATTATTGGGACAAAATACCAGACATATTTGGAGAAAATTTCTTATGAAACAAAGGAGTAGAGAAAAGGCTAATTGTCTTAATCAGAGTTTAAATTTTGCATGTTATTATCATCTGAAGAATCGGAAACTTACTCTAATTTTTTATATGTCAAGGTCCGATGTTAAACAATTTTTCCTTCTTTGGAATGTGTTTTCTCTTTGAAAGTAAATAACTTCAAGGAATTGGTAGGGTGACTGACATTTTAAAAAATAAATTCTCATTTTTATTTTTTAATATGTTTTTATTGATTTCAGAGAGAAGAAGGGAGAGGGGGAGAGAGAGAGAGCTAGAAACATAGATGGTGAGAGAGTCATTAATCAGCTGCCTCCTGCATGCCCTCAACTGGGGATTGAGCCTGGGCATGTGCCCTGACTGGGAATCAAACCACAATCTCCTGGATCCTAGGTTGATGCTCACCTGCTAAGCCATGGTAGCCGGGCATAAATTCTCATTTTAAAAGCCTGCCTAGAAGACTATAGGACAATAGAAACACAAATATTTCTGACACATTGTACTTTTATATTTTATAGTACACATTTTAAATATATATTCAAAAAATTATGAAATGAAAAAGTGTAGAATAAATATAAATTATACATAGGGTGTAAATATGTATAGACTTATATTATCATTTTAGGTTGCTAATGCCATGAAAAACTCATTACCATTTGATGCTCCTGATTCTTCACAAGAAGGCCAGAAGGTACTTAAAGTGGAAGTCACTCCCACAGTGCCGAGGATTTCTCGGACTGCAATTACAACTGCTTCCATCCGTCGCCATAGGTGGAGGAGAGAAGGTAAGTACAAAATCTCTATAGCTCACTCATGGATTCAAGTAAATTTATCACTGTTTTTATAGACTATATTAGCACTTGATATTATAGTACTCTATATAATTAAAGTAAATTTGTTCAGTTTATAAAAATAGCTCTAAAATTGTGGTTTAAATGCTCAAATTTATTTTAATATAATTTTAAATAAGGTAGAAAGATGTTATTTATAATGCTCTATGAATGTTAAAACAGAAAATAAGATCAAGTTAATTTTTATCTGTTTTGAACTAGGAATAACAATAGGAAAGAAGTTTCTTTAAGCCTCTTACCAATACTGGGGGAAAAAGGTGCATGTGTGAGCACTGTGGGAGAAGCATTGTGGGAGAAAATTGTTTAACTGGCCCAATTAATGGTATAATACAAGCTATCCACAAAATAAATGATTATTGATCTTTAGATTTTTATCTTTGCTTTTCATTTTTTTAGTAAGTGCTGAATCCAGCAGTATTTTATGGTCATATGGTACTTGAATAGTCAAGCTTTCTTGGCTAAGAGATATTAATTGCTATTTTAATGATCCGTATTTTTCTATCCTATTCATTTTCAGACCTCACATTGTTCATCTGCTGCCTTATGTGTGTGTATGCTGTGCACACACATGTAACTATATAACTAGTGTTTGTGTTTGTATCATATCCATATATACATTCTCTTATCTGCCTGGGTCAAAATGCTCAGAAAAGAATAGAGGAGCACAAAAAGCACTAAAATTTTATATGTTGAATCCCAGATGGCTTTGACTTCTCAAACGAGGCTGACTCGAGTATTCCTGGCACCCCGATCCAACACGGCTCCACTGACCTAGGGATCAAACGTGTGCAAGAGGGGGAGGTGCTGGTGCGCAGGACCCCTGAGCATGGCTCACCGGAGCCCAACTCAGCAGCAGCCACAACAGAGGGTAGGACAGAGATGAGGAGACAGAAGTCAGTGAGGCAGTTGCTGGAGAAGAATCCTGGCTCTCTAACCCCAAGCAGAACATCTTTCCATTCTAGTGTGTGTTTTTACTCCCCCAGTGTATTAGCTCCTCCTTGCAAAGTACAACCCCCCATATGCCTAATGCCAGGTCAAGAACAATCTTTTGTTACCATTTGTGCTGGCCTGGAGTCTGCATCCCTGTGTAATCAAAGAACAGCTTGGCATGGCTACTAACAAGGCAGAGGCCTATCTCAAAAAGGTCTGCAAATGCTTGGAATTTTCATTACTGAGCATGTTTATTCTAACATTAGGAAAGGAAAAATGCACACAATGGACATGAGCCTTATTAGTCAATATGAGTTGATTTAATTCATATAATAATTTATTCTTTAAAAAATATCTGAGGAGCATTTTAAAACATTAATACATTATCTTTGAGAAATTGGACTAAAGTGGAGCCGGCAGTTTATCTCTAACCCCAGGGTGGTCAGTTAAGAATTACTTTTCTCGTTAACAGAGTAAACTGGTATTGATTGGCTTTTTATCATCTTCGGGTCAAGTTGCCTGGGTCTAACTAGTGAACTCCTGACATCTTTCCTCTATAATTATACTATCCTGGTGCATGCTACATTTTATCATTTATTGTAAATAATGATTATCTTACATAGAGCCCAGACAGAATTGAAATGTATTATTTAGAGGCTAGGTATCCAGTAGATCCTTGTTTCTACAATGTAGGTATCTCAAAATGAGAATCATCCCCCCTCTTCCAAAATCCTTGCTGCCCCCTCCCCGGACCACCACCACCACCACCACCACCACCACCACCATCTGTAAAAGAACACTTCTCTCTGATAGGAAAGTATTTATTTGCTGCTTTACATGTGATACCATAGGAGTTGGCTTTGTGAAAGAGGAAACTGTAGCCCAATCATCTTTTCATTATTGAATGGATTGCTACAGTGGAGCCTTTACACTAATTTATGAAATACAGCAAGTAGTTTTAAAATAGGTTACGTATTTTTACTTATTTTAAAGACCAAGCATACATGAAGCAGTTATTTCCACCTTAAGGAAGTATCTTGCTCTTTGGTGCATTAAAAATTTGAGCATGCTCAGTAAGAATTTAAATCTACCCTCTGTTCCCTTGTCCATTTGCCCAGATTGACCTTACTTCCTTTACCAGTGTTGCATGTGCATGAACTGGGGACCCAAAGAGTTGGTGCTGTTTTACAGAGATTCTGTGAAAAATACAGCCTTCCCTTTTCATTTTTTCTGTATCTATTATACGTGGGAGTCAGTTTTATCTTGTATAAAGGCGTAAAAATAAATATGTGAATAGATGTTGAACCCAGAGGTAACATAAACAACATCTTGTTTCTTAACATTCTTTTTTTAAAATTGAATTTATTGGGATGACATTGATTAATAAAATTATATAGGTTTCAGGTGTTTTTGTTAACATTCTAGATGATTAAATAAGCCACTCGATGCATATCTCCTACCGCTGTTAGAATGTTGGAGTGTTTGTGCTAAATGTAGTTGTACTATGTTAATTAACATTTGATGATATTCTAGAGAGTGTGTGGAATAAGGTTGAAACATTTCTGCCAATTCATCAAAGTCATATACTTTGAAAAAGGAACCAAAATAGTAGTTCCTTTTAAATATGAAAATGTTCTATTTTAATGTCTCCTACCACTAGTAGAAAATTGCAGTTTGTGAGGGTGGAGTATAGCCACCGCCAGTGTGTTTGAAATTTCTCAAAAATTATTTTGTCTTTTAATCTAGATTAATTGTAGCTTTAAAGCCATATTAGTAGAAGCTAAATTTATTTTTCCATTCAGAAAAGTTCATTGAAAGTCTTTTTTGGTTAAAAAAATACCCTTTTTGGTTGTCTCTTCTTTGGATCATCAATAGTGTTGTTACTACCCAGGGAGAAAATTAGAAAGGAAAAAGGTTGTGAGGCACAATTATCACATATATATATATATATATGAGAAAGTTAATTTGGAAGGTCACAGAGGTAGAAGAAGTGAATGGTAGAAAAAAATGGACTCAGGAAACAAGTTACAGAGATGAAAGAAGGGGCCCTTGGAGCTTAGGAGAAAGAAAGGTAAAGGTAACTCTCATGGGGACACTGGAAGGGCACATGCTTGATTAGGGGAGGGAGAGCACCACACAATTACCTTTTTTTTGTTCCTTGAGGTTTTCTTAGCCAGAAAGAAGGAAATTACTAAAACCTATGTAAAGTTTTGGTAATTCTGAAGTCTACTGGAGCTTTTGGATAAACATTGATAATTGACTTTTAAAAAAAGAAAACATGTTTTTTAGTATGTGGTTTTAAATAGCTTTACAATTAAAACTATATTTGTTGTATGTTGAAATTGAAGAGAGTATGAGCCCATTTTCTACCTTTATTCTGATTATCAAGTAACATTTTATTTGTGACTTTTAAAGTTGGATTTAAAATTATTACTAAACTGAGGATGCCTGTGATTAAAATATACTCAGTGTTCCATATACTGAAACAGCATTTTTAGTATATAAAATATCAGTGGATTCTCTTGCATGGTGGTTTTTATGTTATCATCATCTCTTTTATGGCCATATTGCTTGGGCATTAGATCTGCATGTGGCAAGATTCAGAAGCTAGCACTAAGTCTCTCAGTCTCCTTTCCTAATTTCATACATATACAATACATTTCTGTTCATTCCGGTTTTGTATTACTGGTATCAATTCTGAACCAGTAACCTTTCTTGGACATTTTGGAGTTGTTTATACTAATTGTAAGTGAATTGCTAAGATAATGTCATTTAAAGTTTTTGAGTTACATTGAATACTATTCTTTTGAACAAGGGGTTGAGAGAAGTGGTGTCAGCTGCATTTTCATATGGCTTTGCATGATGATTAAAGATTATTAAATTGCTGGATAAAAATAATAAGGTGCCTTTTGCTTTAAGGATAGCTTATTTCATTCTTCTTTTGAACGAAGGAAATAACTAATCCCTATGAGAAAACATAGCTAAGAAAATATTTTATTTTTTAGGGTACTATGTTAAATAAAAATTGTGTTTAAATATTTCATATATAGTTTACTTAGGTAACCCTATCTCAAGGTAATATTTGTTTAGATTTCTTTCCTAACATTTTACCTTAACTATAATATTGCTATCTGTATGTGGATTCAGATTAAACTTCTCCCAGTCTGGTAAACTATACTTAATGATGTAGCAAACCCCTATCAGTTTTTGAAAGAAGCAAGTGTATTTATTTTCTAAGAGAATGTTGTTCATACTTGCAGTAAGACAAGTGGGCTTTCTGGAAACCCCAAGCTAACTATATTATATGTGTTTCTTCCCTTCTTACATATCCAAATAAAAGGATTCTTTTGTTAACTGCAGTTTCTGCATGAAACATAGTCTGACACTACAGTATTTTGTGATTACAAAAATAATACATCTCAAACTAAAAATTTTAAATATTACAGAAATACATGATATGAAAAGTAAAAGTCCTTCTTAAATATTCCTGCTGGTTCCCTAGCTTGCCCTCTGATAATCAAGTATATTCTTCACATTAATTTATCAAGAAAATATGGAAACCAGTGAGTAGATATGTCTGTAAGACAAAATACAATTAGGAAGTAACTGGGAGCAATATAAAGTTTTTTTATTCTAGAATTAGAAAACTTTACTAGTTCAATGTTAAAGGTTTTAAAGCCAATTAGAAGCAGTGAGCTGTTGAAAAAATGTAAATTTTATTGTCGTTAAAAAGGGTGTGGTTTGTTAGGGATAATTGTTTTTGGCATTATTCTGGGTGACTGAAATTAGGAAGAGGTCTATTTTATGGTGGGTTAAGGAAGATAGTAAAAATTTTTCTTTTTTTAAATAGATATGGTCACTGCTAATTGATATGGGTGTATTATAAAGATTTATGATGACAAAATGTTGTATTTTACCCAAAATTGTTTCATATTCCTAAATACAAACTTTTTACAAAAGTTGGACTAATTAAAACTAAATAAACAGAACAAATAACATTAAAATTCTGTGTAGGTATGGTTTCTTCCCTTAAATTATTTAGGGGAAGTGCTGATAACAAACCATTGCCACCTATAGCAAACATTACCCAAGAGATAGAGTCAGTCGAGTTGTTATTCACATCTACTTATTTAATTTAGCTATTGCTGAATCTGTCTGATTTGTTTTTTAGGTGCTGAGGGCGTCAATGGAGAAGAAGAATCGGTAAACCTGAATGATGCAGATGAAGGATTTTCATCAGGGGCTTCCCTCAGCAGTCAGCCAGTTGGGACCAAACCATCCTCTTCTCAGAGGGGAAGCTTAAGGAAAGTAGCAGCGGGGCGTTCAGTCAAGGAAAAAGAAACAGCCTCTCCCATCAAATCCAGCGAGAGCCCTCAAGATTCAGTAGTTCGCAGGCAGTATGTCCAGCAACCTACTGATCTTAGTGTAGATTCAATGGAGCTGACACCGATGAAGAAACACCTGAGTCTGCCTGCTGGCCAAGTGGTGCCAAAAACCAACAGTTTAAGTCTAATCCGGACAGCCAGTGCTTCCTCAAGTAAATCATTTGACTATGTAAATGGCAGTCAAGCAAGTACCAGCATTGGGGTTGGCATTGAGGGAGTTACTAATTTAGCAACTAACAATGCTAATCGATATTCCACTATCAGTCTACAGGAAGACCGGCTAGGTCAAGCTGGAGAAGGTAAAGAGCTTCTCAGCCCAGGAGCTCCCTTAACCAAGCAGTCTCGATCCCCAAGTTTCAATATGCAGCTAATATCCCAGGTGTAGTTTTGACATCCTTTCTCATCTTTCTGCTTACCTTTTAAACTGAACATTTCATTTTGCAAGAAGAAACTTCATCCCATGTTGTGAAAATATTAGTCATTGTAATCAGATTTGATTTAGTTTAGGTATGTTCATACTGTATTTTGTATGGAAACAGCAATAAGGTTTTCCTTCCCCTCTTTTCTGTATCTTCTCTTCACCCATTCCTTGTAAATGTGTTTGTGAAGCAGTATAAAATGTTTGCATTTTCCATGCCTTCCTTTTTCCTTGGGTGATGTGCAATCCATCGTAGGCTGATCGGTCCCATTTCAACACTGTGAGACTGAGGATATGTTAGAGGAAATGGTGTATATGATCCCTATGAAATGATTCTTTGGCTTTCTTTAAAAAAACCAACACAAAAAACGGGTTTGTTCTCATAATCTATAAACTATGAATACTGGGTCATATTTTTTTCTCTCTTAACCAGGAGTGCCTCAGAGATTCTGCTATGACTTTGGACTTCTCTGAGTCTGTGCAATCATTTTCTTGAGAAGCATGGGGAAAGGTGGTAGACTGTTGCACTTTTTCATTAAAATGAGAGTGGCTCTTTTTCTCCTATCTCCTTTATCTCGAAGACATGAATGTTTAGTTACTGAGGCATTTAAATCAAGTTGTGGCCACCTCCATTGGAGGACAGTTGATTGTGTAATTGTAATGCACTTTCTCAATGGCTCTATAGTCATTATTAACATGTCTTCCCTCCTCCCCACAAGGACATGAGGTTATTTCTGTCCTTCAAGTTTGAACAGCTAACAAATCAGAGAATCCAAGGGGCATGTTCTATTTCCCAGGAATGACTGACACTTTGGTGCTGGGGTTTTGTGGAGGGAGGGGTAGTTTTTGTTTAGCTTGTGTGGGATTGTGTGTATGAGGGGAATTTTTGATTGGTTTTCTTTATTTTCTTTTGTGAGCTTATGACTGAAGTAGAACAAGTACATCTTCAGGTAAAGAGAGGGATTTCTCAACCTATTTTCTGTGATGTCAGACTATTGGAGAAACCCTTTCAGCTGCTTTCTAGATGTACCTAAAACTCAGTCAGATATTTTGGAGTAAGGAACCTGAAGTCCTGATATATCATATACTCCAAGGAAATAATACATCAGGGACAGATAATTGGCTGAAAACACTGACGCTTCAATGTGACACATTTTTATAGAACATTTCTACCAGGGGGTACTGACTTGATTTCTCCTACAAGGACCACACTGCCTTTTGTGTTTAATGTAATGCAATTTGTGTACCTTCTAATCATATAGCTGCAAAAGTTTCTCATTTTTATAAAACTTTGAAATCATACCAGTAAGCTAAATGTTGAATGTATGTAAAGTAGCATTTGGTAACTGTGCTACAGAAATGCATTATTGGTAAAAAACAAAACAAAACAAAAAAAACTTGATTTGGTTGGTTAAGATTTTATTATGACCTCTTCTGGGTCTCAGGCTGTAATGCTTGATTGAAATAGAAGAGAATGTGTTGGTTTTTGAAAATCAGTATATTGTGACTTGAACTGTTATGTGTTATCCTTCCACAAAATACATCAGAACTATTAGTTAGACATTTTTATTTTATTGTGAAAGAAAAACATACTGAATTTATAGAAAGCAAGTATTCTCATAATCAACAAAATTTAAAATTTTATCACTACCAACTAAAATTATACTAGAACTTGATAAATAAAATAACTGGAAAAATTCCTCTTATTCTTTTCACACCTATAAATCTCCCCCCCCCCTTCTTTTTTTAATTATAAGAGGTTTTTTGTTTGTTTTATTTGTTTTTTAAGGGATTTTCTGTTAGAATCTTTATAAAAACAATGAGATGCTTGTTTGAATTTGGTGGTCTGTAACATTTTCTAGCTCATATTAAAATGGAAAACTATAACCTGAACTAGTATCTACAAAATTGCCAAAGTCCAGGGTAAAGGTAAAAGTTGATAGAGATTTATTGATTTGTGTGTGTGTGTGTGTGCGTGTGTGTGTGTGTGTGTGTATATATATGGTGTGTATATGTATATATCACAAAGACATATTTTAGGTATCCCTTCTAATTAAGAGAAGTCAGATAAATGAATTAAAAAGTATCCAAAATAAATGAAGTGTAAAGATCTGTAAAATAGTGAGGAAAGCAAAGTTTAGATATGAAAGAAAAAGAGCTTTGTACTTAACTATGGCTGGACGTCAGTTACTTTTATGACAGAAATGTCCAGTTGATTTAGGAGGCTGTTTTTAATTCAACAAGTTGTACATTTATTGGCATCTAACTCCTGTATGAGTTTAGTTAAAGCACACAAAAAACCCCACAAAATAATATTAAATTGCAGCAAAAAGCTATAATATAAGATTTCCCTTTAGTTTATTAGAAATTTTATACCTGAAAAGTTGGTTTTGAAAACTTTCAACTTAGGGGATTTCATTGATCTGTGTGTATACGTATATATTTTGTATGTATATGTAACACATTAATGTTGCATGGCCCATAACATTTGTGTTTCATTCTTTTAAGTGATGTGATTTGGCCCCAATGAAGAAACATTTCATTTAGTTCAAACTTTGCATTCAGGATTTTAGAACAGATTTCCTGTGCAAGGTATAGTTTAAATGGAATGAGTTAGTTTAACAAACCCTAAGTCAAACTTTGTAAGAGATTTTTTATATTCATCTACATTATTTATTAGATTTCATTAAAAATAGTTCTCAGATATACAATAGTTGTTAAAAATCCATGCCAGCAATATCCTTTAACATACTTTTGTTTTATACTTTCTAACTTTCATTTAAAAGAAAAAAGCCCTTTTATCTGTGGAAAAGCTGATTAGGGAGAAAATACTTGTTTTCTATAATAAAACAATTTGATGCCATCTATACCAGATTGGATTAAGAAATATCTGAAGGTTTGGGGAACTCTTCTCTATGACATTAATTGAAATCATGTTACTAGAAAGCAAATTAAAATGTAAAGTGAAAAGCTAACTTAGAAGTAAAATTTTTTAAAAACAGTTTGGAAGCTAGGGGAGGGGGTGGTGGTGGATGTAATTTGAAATCCTGACCCCCTACCCTCATAATTACTCTTCTGTGCCTATTATAAAGTCAGAATTTTTATATTAGCAGAGACCATAGAGATGATTTTGCTAGTCTTGTAACAACATTCCCCCCACCCCATCCATCCTCAGGAAACTGAGGCTCAAAAAGGTTGTGACATAATCAAGATCACATAACTAAGAAGCAGAGCCAGAATAAAACTCCTGTTTCCCATCAAATGCATAGTTGCACCCTACTGCCTCCCTTTACTTTTACTATGGTAAATGTGTTATGTAACACTCTCCATTTCTGCAGTTTTTGTATAATTTTGGACTAGTAGTTGGTGAATACAACACATTAAGTGTTAAATCCAGAAAAATGTAGAGTAATAAATATAGATAGGGATGTGTTGGAAATGTAGGTATCTATACCATAGATATCAGGATAGATACATTTTCCTTATTCTAATTTATGCCTTACTATTTTCTGCCACATAACAGTATATGCTGCCATTTTATAGTGGATTATATTGCTGGGAATTTATTTAAATGTAAAAATAAACCCAGTGAAATGTCTTCAATCAGTAAGTTTTGAATCAGCCAGCTTTCAGTCACCTAAGTAGCAAGTTAATTGTATTGTACAATGAAGCATTGCAAAGTAAAGATTAAATTCAATTCCACTAATTTCTAATGTCAAAAGAGATTGAACCTTCCTTGTGCTTAGAGCAGATAGACAAAAGCAACATTTCCTTACGTGATTAAAAAAGGGTTGTAGCGCAAAGTTTATGATTCATAATGGAATGGTGACCATCATGTTATTCAAAGTGTATATACCATATAAAATGTCTTAAATGTGGTAGTGTCAGCTATATAAGCTCAATAATTCCAACCTATACTCTCAAATTCCACTTAGTAGCTTTAAATTAATTATAATATTTATTAGACACTGGAATACTGAAAATAATTCCTTTCAGATACATTTGTTTGCACTATATTTGTGAATATTTTAATGAAGTGGTGTGTTTTTCCTACCTTACTTTGTGAGGTTTGTTATGGGTCCATTTTTGACTACTTTAGTTGTTGACAATCAGTTATCTCATTCAATTCTCTGCATGTTCATTTGTAAATAAAAAATTAGTATGTGTCTTTAGGGGGTAATACACTATTTATACAAACACTGGCAAGGAGGATCCCTCCATTTCTGATTTTGGATTACAAAGTAAATTTTGTTTTATGGTTTTTTAAATCAGTATTTCAGTTACCTATTTATTTTTCAGTTTAAAAATGTTGAATAGGTCATGCCAGTGGTTGGAAAATCTATAAGAATCTTAGGGCAACTTTTCTATGCTATGCCTATGTTAAACAGTCTGAACATGATACTTTTTATCTTTCAAGTTGAATGATTATTGTCCTGTTTTAAACCACCAAGTTGGTTGAGATCCTTATTTGTAATACTTTAATTTTTTCTAAAGTGCTTCTTAGAAACAAGTTGTTTGAAAAACAACTAGATATTATTGATAACTGAAACTAAATATTAGCATATTTTCCAGATTTTAAGGATGGAATGCAGTGTAAAATTTTTAACAGTACAAATAAAATTATATTGAATTACTAGATTGGTACAGTTTTCCATTGCCAAGGTGTTTATGTTGATTAGTGTAAGACATAAATTTTAGTATTACCTGTTATGTACCTAATGGATATATCAAATTGGCACTGAACATACATAGGAAATATTACTCATAGAGTCATCCAATGTGTACTTAAACGATACTAGATTTTTGATGGTGCCAGAAATTTGTGTGGTGATCCCAAGCCATGAGAATTATAGGAGTCATCATGACCCACACTTCCCCTGCCTGTGTAAATCTGACCATAAAACCACAGAATTTTGGTAACCTCAATCTCTCCAGTATTTTTGTAGTGTTAAGCCATTGGTCACGTGAGAAATTTATACAAGAGCAGACAGTTCAGGGTAGAAGTTAGCAGAAAGCTAGGAATGATGTGAAATATCTGGCAGCATAGTACAGAAATGAAAGTTCTATGTTTTGCTTCTGGATTTTGAGAAAATGTTTACAAATTAAGGCACAGTCAGACTTCTATTATGCTATTATGTTTAATAATAGATTTTATCCAAAAAATTAGGACTAGGTGTGGCTTAAAGTATAAATGAGTCTTTTTAAAAAATAATTGTGTATCTGGAAGTAGGTTAAATAAAGAAATTATTTTATTTTGAAATTCTTTTATTTTTAAAGTGAAATGAACTTAATTGGACAGTCCATCCACAACTAAAGAATTGATATTAATCTGGTTTGCTGTATTTGAGTGTCAACAGCTTAATGTTAATTATATCAGAGGAAATTCTTTATGTCTTCACTGATTACAAAATTTACCAAAGAAAATGTACCAACCAAATATAATTTTTAAAGTACCTAACTGTTAAGGAATAAGGCTACTTTAACATGAAAGATTGCTTTCTAGCCCTGAGGGAATAGATATAAACATATTCTTTGATCTGGAACATAGATATACAGTACCTACAAGATTCCACTGAGGCTTTCTTATCGTCAGTAAAGTGTCAACATTTACACTTCCAGCAAAAGTACTAGTTAAAGGTTAAGTCCAAATATTATTGCTGTGGCACATTTTCATGTCTCCTTAACTCATATTAAGGATTCTGTTCATCAGTATTAAATAAAAAAGGGGGTGAGTTCCTAAAGTTAGGAATAAGTATCACACAATATTGTATGATATTGTGACTTTTTAAAAGTAAAATTGAGGGGGAAATTATGGAAATGCACCTTTTCAAATGGGCAATGGCAATTATTTCTAATAAGTATGATATGGGTTAAAATGGTATGTTTACATAATTTATGTATATGATCATTCTGGGTGTATTTTTTTCTTTGCAGAAAAACATGATTGGGTTATGAAAAGCTAAAATACTCTTTTTTTAAAATGTATAGACCAATAAGAACTAAAAGATTTACTTAAACTATGATTTTTTGTAGAAAATATGAAATGTAATTGTATATTAACTGATGTTTCAAACAGGTTCTTTGTATTATTTTTTTCATATCAGTTGGTAGTTAAAAGTAATGAATATATCTATCAGCTATCTTGGAAAAAGAAGATTGGTTTTCTAACAATTACTAATGTAGGTTTGTGGGTTTTATCATCCAAACTGAATTGAGAGATAATGCTCAGTGCTCCATGTGTTTTAAAATATTTGTAATAAGTACATCAACTACTTTACAGTGACTCTTTTTTATTATTCTAAAAATTATGCTGGCTTTACATTCAGTTTAAGTAGCTAAGCGAAACATATTTATGGTGCAAAGATGATTTTCCCCATCATTGGCCCTCCTGAGCTACAGTGTCTGAAGTTTTTACTACTTGTATTATTTTACATAATATATAGTCTGATCTCTGTCAAAATGGACAAATAAAAAGAAAATATCCAACTTTCACATGTTTGCTTCATAAAAGGTTATGGAATGTATGATAGATCAGCTCCATCCCCCCCCCCCCTTTTAAACCAGCATCAACCTATAGCTTGATATAAATTTCCCAAGTATTCAGAGAGTAGTGCTGGTGAAAATTTAAATAGGTTAGGCATGAAGAAAGTATGATCTCTATTGACTGATGTTCTTTCAACCTAGGACTAGTGAAAATCTTTATTTTTTTCCCCCAGAGCTGAATTAAAAACCCCACACGTTTAAGATCATATTTATTGGTGCATGTAAGCCATTATCTTAACTGTCTTACTGAACTGGTTAATACGTTGATTGTTGAAATGTGAAATGTAGACACTGTTGACCTGTAAATATCTGCCAGAGATGAAAAAATATTTTAAGGTATTGTAAATAAAGATGTATAAAATTCATTATTAGTCTGTAATGCAGAAACCTATGTAAGATGTTAAATATTGTGTTCCTTGAGAGATGTGTAATTTTTCCCTAGTTGTATCTAGTTACATTAAGAATGTACATTTTCTTTTGTACAGTATAAAAATACAGCTTTATTTGGCTTTTGACTGGATTTCCCTGAGTTAATTTTATATCTTACCTAAATTTCATACCTTAAAATGATCTTTAATTGCATTTTTATTGCATTTTTTCAAAGAATTTATGTATGTCTGAACCTTTTATTTATATGACACCCTGTTAAATTAAGGCAGTTTATAAAATTAAGGCAATATATACAACTACATATAACATTAAATAAATAAGAATGAATGTGAAGGCAGAAGTAAAATTAATCATTTCTGTATGTTATTGTTGAGATACAAATTTATCTCTGAACTTTAAAGCAGCTAAATGCTGAGAGAAGATTAATGATGTGATTTTCAGGTATCCTTAAGTTAAATCAGTTTCTCGGGTGAAGCACAACTGTTTCTATCACTGAAATGTTAGAAAATTTTCTTTCATGGGTCTTATAAAGAGCCACCATTATTATAGTACCATTTACACTCTCTTCAGCAATGTATTTTGAAGTGCCTTTTTCCGCACACTCTTACCAGCAGATCATTTTCTCTAATCATTAAACTTCATCTTCCCCAGATTGTGTTTTCTAATGTATACTTTAGCCTTCCCTTGGAAAACGGCTTTAATGAAGGGCTGAGCCTCAGGTCATATTTTCCCTTCCCTTTCATTCACTTGCTAGAAAAATTTCTTCTGTGCAGTTTTTCCGTGCGGCTATTATTCCTTACTTATAGACCAAGGCTTTGTTCTGTCTCTTGTTCAGATCCAAGCAATACAGAGCATGTTAGGTTTCTTTATATCTTGTTTATTATTCCTTAATCCAAAATCACTTACAGATTAGCAGTTCCAGAAGAGGATGGTATATGCAACTCACCGAGCCTGTTTTTGTTGTTGTTTTCTCCATGGTTCTGGATCTGCATTAGTTAGGAAAGACGAAATTCACCAGTTGACAGTTCTAGTTTTTTCCCTTTATTAAAAATGTAATATTTGCTCATTTTGAAAACCTTAGAAAATGTAAAGTACAAAAGAAAAAGTCATTAAGATATTATAATAAAATAGTGAATAATCCTGGCTGGTGTGGCTCAGTTGGAGCATTATCCTGTGCACTGAAGGGTCATAGGTTCCATCCTCAGTTGGGGTATGTTTGGAAGGCCACCAATTGATGTTTCTCTCTCTTTCCCTCTCCCCTCCTTTCTAGAATCAATGAAAAACATATCCTTGGGTGAGGATTTTTAAAAAGTGAATATTAATAAGATATCCCTCGACACACAAACAACTCTGGTCCAGGTCACAATATTTTATGGTCCAAAGATTTTTTTCATGTGAATTAGACATTAATAACTAACATTTATTGGGTGTTAGGATGTGCCAGACACTGTTCTAAATACTTTAAAGAAAAGGCATTACTTCAATACTCAGTTAATACAACAGTATCCAATAAGTACTATTATTATTCTTTTATAAGAAAAGGAAAGTTCATCTATCTAGGGTCACAGAGCTAGTAAGTGGTAGAGCTGGGATTGGACCCACTCAGGCTCATGGACTTGTGCACTTAACCTCATAAAATACTTCACACAGTGTTGACTGTTCTCAACTCTAAGTACACTTGCCCTATTCCCACAAACTCAAGGCCCCTGTGTGGAATAGGAAGGAAGGGGGATTGGATCTCAGTAGAGTTAGAATACTAATAGGCAAACTAAATCCATGAAAGAAGCCCTAATCCCCCAGGCAGCCATAGTTATAAATTAACTTCTCTCTTAGACATAGACAATGGTTCTAGTTATGTACTTTCCTTAATTATGTACTATTCTTGGGAGAAATGAGAAAACGGTCATTCTGTAGTTCACATGAGGAACCTCAGTTGAGAAAAGCTGGTTTGACCATAATAAAGCAGAGGAGTCTCCCAAAAATAAAACTTAAAAATTTTTACAGGCCCTTGGCTCCAACCACCCCAGAAAAAAGCTTTCAGGTAGTTTGGGAGGAAATCAGAATTTTATTGGACTTGCAATTATTTTATGATTTAATGTCATTTTAAACTACATGGGAGAGTGTAGAAAAGTCGTGTTTAAATCTAGCCCTTGGCCATAATCCAAATAGGATGAATGTAATTCATGGAAACGGCCCTCATTTTGATCAAGATGTTACATTACATTAGAAAGGGGTGAGACTGAACTAAAACCCACTTGATGGGCCAATCACTTTTGGATCTTAAGCAACAATGTTTAATACACATTAGGAATGAGAACATTTTTTTTTTTTATGGCTAGGTCATGGTGACTTAATGCAGCCATAAATTCTGAATTGTATGATTTAACTAGAAACACTATTACATTCAAAACGATTTTTCATTTTTCCCAATATTCAGTAGGGACTTCTCCCAAACATAGGCTTTACCCATTTCCTTAAAATGGTCACAGGATTTTAAGAAATCTATAGATATTTAACTTATTAACAGTTATTATAAATCATGGCTTCTTGCCCTGGCTGGGTAGCTCAGTTGATTAGAGCATCGTCCTGATACGCCAAGGTGCAGGTTTCGATCCCTGGTCAGAATCAACCAATGAATGAATAAATAAGTGGAACAACAAATTGATGATTCTTTCTCATCAATAAGAAAATTTTAAGTCACGGCTTATCACACTGAAACTTTCTGTATTGAAGATTGTATTTTAAAGCTAGTTTCCCAGAATTTGAATTTCTGTGTGTACATTTTTTAAGGCTTAATTAGGGCCTCCTCATCTCTGGCACAAGAAAATCCTGGAAATAAAGTAGGTTCTGGCTACGATATTCTCTTTTATTCCTAGATGCTCAGAAGTAATCACTTTTTCTCTCCTGAGCATGATTGAAATCAAATTGATATCTTAAAAAAATCTCTGGGTAGAGAAAAAAAAAAGGAAGAAAAAAAGAATCTCTTGGTAGAAATTATTTGCTGAGGCATTTGCTACTGATATTGTACCCTTACCACGTATGTGTTTAATGTATAGCATCCAGGTCAATATCTGACAAAAATTTTTATTGCCAATTTTTCATTCAGTAGTTCTCAGCCCTAGCTGCACATTAAAATCATCTGGGGAATTTTGTTTTTTATATTCTGATGACCAGGCCACATTCAGACTCTCTGGGATTGAGATCTGGCAGCAGTAGTTTTACAAGTTCCCCAGATAACTCTCATGTGCAAACAACATTGAAAACTCTCTTTAATCCTTCGACAACCTCTGGTCTTTATACCTAAGCTTTCCTTCTTCCTGTAATTGACAATATAAGAAAGATATTCATTCCATAAATATTTTAAAAACAGACTAATTCTTATCAATGCTGCAATCTGCTTTCTCTATCCCCTTAATTCTGTCCACTGAACACCATATGCATCAATACGATTTCATTGCCCCCAACCCTTGAAGGTCCTTGAACTTCTTGGCCTGTCCCCTTTCTTATTCCCTTCAGTTTCTGTTCCAAGCCTTCATCACTTTAAGTACCACTTTCTCAGCAGCCTCACTGCTACTTCATCAAATGGAGGTCATCATGTTAGAATATATATTTTATTTTTTAATTTTTTTTTACTATATCCCACATTTAAAAAAATTTTATTGATTGATTTTAGTAATTTAGCAGCGTGACTGTAGTGACCTTTCTTCACTCTAGCCCTCACAGGGGCCTCTGCAGTTTTGTTTTGAACGAATGACTGAATCCAAGTGAATTAGCACTGTGTCAGTGGGTAACACTATATCCCAGCAGGTCCACTCCCTTTCTTCCTCTGTCTCGTTCTACCTCTGACCCTTGCTTTCCCTGTCTCTTCATTCCATTAGCAGCCTCATCCTGTCTCCATATTGAGCGCCGGGTTCTAATTCCCTTCTTTACAGAGAGGACTATCTCCCTCCTCACCCCTAACCTTAGAGATACCCTGGATCCTACTTTTCACGCCCACAGAGGTAACGTTTAAACAAAAAGGAACGTGAATTCATTCTTATTATAGTTTTCCTCAAAAGAAGGTATCTAGAGAAACCAGTGAACACTTAAGATTCTCTCAAGACAGAGAAACCGCTCAGCCAGCGACAGTCCTACAAACTTCCTGGGATCTAAGACACACTTTTCTCCCTTCCCCGGAAACGGAAAGAGGAAAGGAAAGGCCCAAACCCCACGCTTTGGGATTAGTTTTCCGCAGGTTCCTTGGTGGGCGGGGCCCGCACGTCGGCGCCAGATGGCCAGCAGAGCCATCGCTCTCGGCAGCCCCCGCTTCCGATTGGTTTCTCGGGGCTCCGCCCCCTGAGCAGGGCGGGAGATTCGGTGTGCCCCAGCGGGCCTCCCATCCCCCGCCAGCCTCTGGGGCACCTGAGTCGGACACTGCGGCGGTGGGACTCTGTGAGCCGGCTCTGGCATCTCTTACTAGAGTTTGGCTTCCCCGTCGGGCCAGAGTCGCCTTCCTGGCAGCGACCATTCAGTGGGGGCACGTCGGGCAGGCGTGAGGAGGCCGGAGCGGTGCCTGGCGGGGACCTAGCGGTGCGTGGTGGGCGCCCGCGCAGCCTGCCTCCCTCTCCGGCTCGGCTGCGGGCTTGTGAGGTGAGTCGAGGTGCGTCCAGCCCCCTGTCGGAGCTGGGGCGCGCGAGTCCCCGGGCTTCCGCTCGCACTCCCGGCTGTGTCGCTGCGTCTCCCCCTTTCTCTCCCAGGCTCTCCTCCAAGCCCCGCGGGCCCGAGGACCCCCGGCTGGCCGAGCGCAGCCAACTAACTGAGCAGCGGCGCGAGGCCCACGCCGTAGTCCGTAAATACTTGGGGTGACAGGCTCCCTCTGGAAAGACCTTTCGTCTGTCTGTCCAGCAGCAATAGGCCTTCTGTGCTAGGGACACCTGTTACCAACATGCCTGTTTCCTGGCATAAGGAACTTTGTGACTGTAAAGAGAGAACTGCAGATACTTGTATCTGTAATGAACGCGGTGATGTCCTGGGAGAGGAGCGGGTGCGTTGAGGGCTGAGGGGAAAGAGATTTCTTTCCAGAGCCACCGCTGGAGCGAAACTCGGGTGTCATCCCAGCCTGGAAGCACCGAATGAATTATAACCGAACTGTCACCCGGGGACGGCGCTTAGTTGTTAAATGTTGATAAGCCAGGCTCTCTTGGTAGAGCTCTTCTCTATATCCACCCCCTAATCCAGGTCTCAGTTACTAAGATTTCCTTGGCAAAATGGTAATGGTCATTTTACCCTTTACTAAATACTATCATAATAACTTTGGCTTTGTAAGAACTTCATTTATTCATCTTGTTAAGTTCATGACCTTCTTTGGTTGCTTTTGTTTTCCTATTAGCTGTCGCTGGCTGAGTTATTTTTTCAGTTACAGGTGACTCTACCTGAATTTTCCAACTGCAGAATGTGGTACCTTTAAAGGTAAATGAAAACTAAGGCAAGTCATTTAAGTGCTAGTTACAACATTTAGTAAGTTACCTGCATGCAAATAACTGACTCATGAGGGGCACAGTTAGTACTTCTTCTTGTCAGGAGATAAGGCAAAAATAGGATTTATAAGAGAGGAAAAAATTCATTTTTTGGGTAAACTTATTGGCTGGCAGCTAGTTGAAATCATCATTAATTAATTTCAGGCTATTACTATTATAAATTATGAAGCTAAATTTTGTCAGAGTAGCTTAATCTTTTGTTTGCCAAACTCATATTTGTTTAGTGAAGAACTATGAAGTATTGGAAAGATTTATGTTTACTCTTTAGTTCCTAAGATACCTAGAAAGCCATATTCATATTTGTAAAGTGGTTTGGTAAGCATGCAATAATAGTAAAGAGAAGTCTTGCGCATTACTTGACCCAGGCTTGGTATACCAGTGAAATACACAGACTTCTCCAAATGGACTGTATCTTTCTAGTGAGCAGAAATTAAAATCCACCAAACCATATTCTTTGCTTGGTTACACCTTTTCTAAACTCTCATGTGTTAACCATTCCCTTTCTGGTAATGTTATTCCAATTCTATAGGCAGAATTGTTTTCCTGTTACTACATTTTAGTTACCTTGATTGGATTTGGCTTTTTTTCAAATCTCAGACACCTCTTCCTCTTTTATTTTTCAAATAAATAATTGAGTTACCTATTATCAAAAACATAATATTAATACAATAATGCATAATATATTTGGTTATGAATTTTTCATCTCTGAGTGCTTTATTGCTTTTGTTTAGGTTGGCAATGATGAGTAAACTGGAATTAAAGGAAAGCAAGATGCTGGAGGTTCGGTTTGTGGGAGATGATGACGTTCTTAATCACATTCTTGATAGAGAAGGAGGTACTAAGTTTATACAATTGAAGAGATACCTTTGTAATGCTTATGAATTATTTCACTTTTTAAAATATTTTAACCTATTTTGAAAATATAGCACAAACTATTTGATCTAGTAATACTAGACTGTAAAAAACTACTTTAATTTTTAGTTTACTCCTTTCAGACATTACTGAAAATTGAAAATAGGCCTTATCTAATATGAAATCATCAGTAGTGGTGGTAACACACTTTCACGGTTGTTGTTTTTTAACTTAGTTTTATAAGCTGTGGAAAAGTGGTCTATACTTTAATCAAAGATAAAACATTGAATTTTTTTCCATCTTTTTAGTAATGATAATATAAGTAGCACCATTTATTTACTTATTTAAATATAATGTTTAGAAAGAATTTATACCTGTCATGTTCTAATTCTTTGGATGTTCTTGTAGGAGCTAAATTGAAAAAGGAGCGACCTCAACTTTTGGTCAACACAAAAAAAATGCTAAAGAAGCCAGAATATGATTTGGAGGAAGATGGCCAGGAAGTCTTAAAAGATAAGAACTATGTGGAAGTTTTAGGACGAGATGTTCAAGGTACTTGGGGACACAGGGGAATGTATATTTATAAATAGCCAAAATTGCTTTGCAAGATACATAGTAGTCTGGCAGGTTAGGCAGTGGTGTACCATAGTGTTTTTTTCCAATTAGTTTTTTTTTTACTGTAAATACACGACATAAAATTTACCATCTTAACCATTTTTAAGAGTACAATTCAGTTATATTAAATACATTCAAAATGTTGTGCTACAATCTCCACCATCCATCTCCAGAACTCTTTTCATGTAATATGCTATATTAATATTTCTCATGAGAAAGCATTCTTTTAGGTTTTTTCTCTACAGTTGAAAAGGGTGGAAGTACAGGGTTTCTACTACAGATTTTTCTCTCTACATTTTTAAAAATTGATTTTTAGAGAGAGAGGAAGAGGGGGGAGAGAGAGAAAGAAACTTCAATGTGAGAGGGACATCTATCAGTTGCCTTCCATATGTGCCCCAACTGGGCATAGAACCCACAACCTGGGTATGTGCCCCGAAAGAATAGAGCCTGCCTCCTTTCAGTGCATGAGACGATGCTCCAACCAACTTAGCCACACCAGCTAGGGCTCTATAGTGTATTTTTGTTTTTACAAACAACTGGTCCTGCTCTTAATTACTTTTATTTTATTTATTTATTAATTTTTAAATTTTATTTTTGTTTAAAATATTACAGATGTCCCTTTTTCTCCCAATGACCCGTTCCACCCTGTCCCATCCCCCTCCCCAGTCCCTCTCCCCACCATTGTCCCTGTCCTTAGGTTGTGCATATACACATATAAATTCTTTGGTTACTCTCTCCCCCTCCACTCACCCCCCCTCCTCTATCCCTCTGACATTCGTCAGTCTCATCTATGCTTCCATGTCATTGAATCTATTCTGTTCATCAGTGTATTAAGTTCTTTAGATTCCACATATAAGCGAGATCATGTGATGTTTTTCTTTCTCTGCCTGGCTTATTTCACTTAGCATAATTTTCTCCAGGTCCATCCATACTGTCCCCAAGGGTATGAGATCCTTCTTCTTTACCGCTGCGTAGTATCTATGGTGTATATGTCCCACAGCTTTTTTATCCACTCATCTACTGATGGGCACTTGGGCTGTTTCCAGATCTTAGCTATTGTAAACTGTGCTGCTATGAACATAGGTGTACATATATTCTTTCTGATTAGTGTTTCAGGATTCTTAGAACACATTCCTAGGAGTGGAATCACTGGGTCAAAAGGCAGCTCCATTTTTAATTTTTTGAGGAACCTCCATACTGTTTTCCATAGTGGCTGCTCTAGTCTGCATTCCCACCAGCAGTGTGCTAGGGTTCCCCTTTCTCCACACCCTCGACAGCACATGTCGTTTGTTGATTTGTTGATGTGAAGTGATACCTCATTGTGGTTTTCATTTGCATCTCTCTGATGATTATCGACGTTGAGCATTTTCTCATGTGTCTCTTGGCCATCTGTGTGTCCTCTTTGGAGAAGTGTCTATTCACGTCCTTTGCCCATTTCTTAATTGGGTTGTTTGTCTTCCTTTAATTACTTTTAGAAAGACAGATTCTACAGACCAGCCACTCCACAGTTATTTAAGATATTTATATTTTTCATTAATTTGAAATAATTTCATAAAGCAAGTCACTTCACTATTATCTTGATCTTATTTACAGAGAGAGTTAGAAGAACATTCCAAGAAATAATGTTCCAACCTACGCATGCCAGATTCCTGCCAGATTATACTTAAATTATTTAGGGTTAAATTATATTTAATTAGGGTTCAAGGAGCACAGATTTATATTAGGGTGCAAAGAGCACAGATCTATTCAAGTTGGCTTAAAAAAATAAAGGTCAAGGAACGAAATCAGTATTGTTGAGCACTAGGGGACTGGGACCACAGTAGAAACTGAGAGACTTTGCTTTCATGGATCTCCTAGGCTCCCTCATGTCATCTCTGTGCATCTGTTCTGTTCTCTCTATGGTCTCTATCTCCCTCTTGTACATATTTTTTACTCATATTTGGCTTATAAATAGCCATCATGACTATTCCCGACATTTTTGTCACATCTTTAGTCAGTTCTTCTGCTTTTATTCCCAGTGTTAAATGACACGGTACAGAAAGTGACTGTTATCCCTCAATAGGCTTAGTGGGCAGGGTGAATTCTCTGAAAAGTTCTCCCAACAGAGAGTTGACATTTTTTAGGGCATATTTTAAAGAGAACTTTGGATTCTTGACTACCTATTATGCTAGACCTAAGAAGAGATTGAAAGCAATTTTTTTTTCCAAAATATTTTCTTTTTCTTTTTTTAAAAAAATATATTTTTATTGATTTCAGAGAGAGGAAGGGAATGGAAGAGAGAGATAGAAACATCGATGATGAGAGAGTCATTGATTGGCTGCCTTCTGCACACCCCCTACTGGGGATCGGGCCTGCAACACCGGCAAGTGCCCTGACTGGAAATCAAACCCAGACCTCCTGGATCATAGGTCGATGCTCAACCGCTGAGCCAAGCCATTTGGACTCAAAAAGCATTTTCTTAAAAATTGTTTCTTATTATAGTTGTAAGTAGAAACTCAGTGCTTCCAACCTTTTTCACCTAATAGTACCCACAGCAAATATTTGAAAGCATACTAGAATAAATGGAGGAGAATGCTTCAGACCAGGGACAAATGCCGTAGGGCTTCTGAGCCTTATTCCCACCCATCCTATAGACCCTGACTGGCATCCTCAAAGGCCTAATAGGGTCAATACCCATACCTTTAATTTCTGCAGACTATTTGGGAAATTTTGCCTTGGAGCAGTGTCTCAGCCTTTTTTTAAATTATCATCCTCTAAGAAACCTTTTAAACATTTTCTCCTAATCACCCCATCCATGAAATTTTAATACTACATATATGCTGTACATTTCTATATGTATTATCACTCTTTGGAGGGCCACAGAACATTGTAATATGTAGGATGTTTTTCATACTCCCCCTCCTTGCACCTAGAGCCAGTTTTCATTCCATCAGAAGCAATATTGTTCCTTTTGAGAGTAAATGCTTTAGAAAACATGGAATTTCTAACAAAAAGTCAACCAAGGATAAATAAACTGTGACATGTTCATACAATGGAATATTATTCAGTGCTTAAAAAAAGCTATCAAGCCATGAAAATACATGGAAGAACCTTAAATGCATATTACTAAGTGAAAGAAACCAATCTGAAAAGGCTGCATACTCTGTGATTACAACTGTACAATATTCTGGAAAGTCCAAAACTATGGAGACAGTAAAAAGATCAGTGGTTTCTAAGGGTCAGAAGGAGGGAACAGATAAATAGGTTGAGTACAGAGGATTTTTAGGGCAGTGAAACTATTCTGTATGATACTATAATGGTGGCTATGTGCCATCATACTTTTGTAGAAACCTATAGAATGTACTACACCAAGAGTGAACCCTAATATAGATTTTGGGTGATAATGATGTGTCAAAGTAGGTTTATTAATTGTATCAAATGTACCATGTTGGTGTGGCATGTTGATAGTGGGGGAGGTTGTGCTTATGTGAGATCAGGAGGTATATGGGAAAACTTTATACCTTCCACTCAAGTTTAAAACATAAAGTGTAGCCCTAGCCAGTTTTGCGCAGTGGTTAGAGCGTCAGCCCATGGACTGAAGGGTTGTGAGTTCAATTCCAGTCAAGGGCATGTACCTGGGTTGCATGCTTGGTCCTCAGCTCAGGTCAGGGCGCATGTGGGAGGCAACTAATCGATGTGTCTCTCACATCAGTGTTTCCTCTCATTACCCTTCCACTTTCTCTAAGAAATCAATGGAAAAAATATCCTCTGGTGAGGACTTAAAATAATAATAATAATAATAATAATAAAAAAACATAAAGTCCATTCAAAAATTTCAGTACTTCTGTTCATTAAATGATACCATAAACAAGTGAAAAGACAAGTCACAAGATAGAGAAGATATTTCTTCTTCTGAAAGTAAAAAACGTGAAAAGATTTCACCCTCCTTAGTCATTATGAAAAGGCAAATTGAAATACCCTTTCCCATGAGATTCATTTTGCAATCACTAGATTGGCAGAGATTAAGGAATTTGGATAATCCCAAGTGTAGTGCAGTGGGAACTCAAATAATAAGGAGAGTGAACATCAACTTTGGAAAAGTTTGGTACTGTTTTGTAGTAACAGTAATAAACCCATTATATGTTAATATAAATTACATATATTTAGGTGAAAAACAGCTATTTTAAAAAAATAGTGAAGAGGGTGGTGTTTTACATTTTTGTAAACCTCTTTGATTTCTGGCTTAATAGAAGACAGCTGGATTTTCATATCTGCTTCCACGAATTCCAGTAGCCAACAGGGTGGTGATGTCTTCACACATCTTGTAGTCTGGAAAACCTCATTACACGCTCTTCACTTGATCTTAGCCAAAAGGCTGAGAAGCTATTGCTATAGAGTCAGATAGTCAAATGTCTGTGTTATTATGAAATAGCTTTTGCCTGAGGGACCTTGGAGACCTCCTAGACCATACTTAGAGAATTTCTGTGCTAAAGTAGGCTACTAGCCATGAATGTCCAGTATGTTGTAGCTAACAGTTGTTACTTAAAGGGAAGACTGAAGAATGAAATTAAGTCAGGGTCTTAATTGAGAGTAAGAGAGCTTTTATCATGTAAAAACTGTGTTTAAATCTCAACCTCAGTTAGCAATTGTTCTTTGCAGGTTTGCTTTATAAAGGAAACATAACTTAATAAAGTTGCTTCTTCCTTCCCTTCTAAGGGGCAACTACTATCATGAATTGAATATCTGTCTTTCTAGTCTGGAGGGGTTTTTTAGTGGGCTTTTAAAACAAATATATATATATATATATATGTATGTATATGCATATATATATATATATTTGTGTATCTGAATAAATTTGTGCGTGTTTTAAAATTTTAAACAGTATCATAGTCTGTTGAGTATTTTTTATTTTAGAATATTTATGTATGAATATATATTGTTAAACCTTTATGTTAGACAATGATGGGTATAAGTCTTAAGTTTTTAGTTAAAATGTTACTTTTTGTTGTTGTTAAATTCCATTTTTCCTAAATGCATGTTGTATTTTCTCTTTCAGAATCTTTGAAAAATGGTTCTGCTGCCGTTGGTGGGAATAAAGTTTATTCTTTTCAGAATAGAAAACACCCTGAAAAGATGGCTAAATTAGGTGCGTTGACTTTTCTGCTTTTGTGATCACTGCTCCCCTTTTCTAAGAAGGTGTGTTAAACCACATTCCCCAGTGCATCCCTAAAAGAATGGTGAGGAATGTCGTTGTATATTAGGTTACCAAGCGTAGTTAAAGTCACTAGTTTTTGTTCTTTCATATTCACATGTCTTCAGTTCTCATCTAGGTTATAAGCTTCTCATAGTAGGAACCCTGTCTTCCTTTTCTTCCTATGACATCTAGCATAGGTTCTTAACAAGTTTTTGTTAAGTAAATGAGGCATATTCTGAATTTATTATGTAAGAGTTTTACACTCTATATAGAAAAATATTGTTTATATTATAGAAAACTACTTCTATAAAATTGTTGGGAGTGGGCTATTCTAACATTTTCTTACCCAACTTACCACTGATACCAATTACACATGAATTACTGATTTTCAGAGAATTAGACTGTAATAAATTACATATAACATTAAAATTAAACTGTCCATTTAATTCTTTTTAAAAAATCCAGATGGCACTATATTTGGGTCCTGTTGTATGAGGAGTTATCACTTTTGAAAGCTTTGAGGAAAGAAAATAACATGTGAAAGCACTTTGAAAATTAAGGTGGTCCATAAGCATATGAAGGTTTGGGAATACTGAAAAGTCAAGAGCTATAGAATAATAATCACTACCCGGTAAAATGTAACAGCAGTATAAGAGGGCTTATAATCTATATTTATAAGGCACCAACATGTATTTCTTAAGTGGTATATTTTTATGCAGCCATTCTAGCTAATGACCATGGAAGTGTTCAAGATCAAGTGAAAAGCAGTCTTGTTAAGTGTTGACACTGATGAGGAACATATAAGAAGTAATTATAAGACCTCTTTCTGAAAATAATTCAGTCATTTGTAAAATTCAGTTTTTCTGAAAGGTGTAATATTAAATACATCATTAATTTTGAACCTAACATTGTATATACAGTAATTTACATTAATTGATGTGTTTATCTGCATTAAGAAAGTAAAAGATTTTTTTTGTTTTGTTTTTTAATCATCACCTGAGGATATTTTTTCCATTGCTTTTCAGAGTATGGAAGGGAGAGAGAGAGAAACATTTGTTGCTTCCCACAGGCACCCGGATCGAGCCTGCATCTGAGGCACATGCTCCCGACCAGAATTGAACCTGGGACCCTTTGGTCCACAGGCTGACACTCTAACCACTGAGCCAAACTGGCTAGAGTGAAAGTAAAAGTTTTTTGATTTGTGAAAATGACTGAATTCTGTATACACTCTCTGAGAAACCAGAGAAGAAATGCTAATGTAATTATTAGAGGGAGGATCAGATAGACACCAAGACCAAAATGAAGCCCGAGGACAATGAAGCAGGACAAAGAACACTGGAGAGAGAGGAGAACTAATAGTGAAAAGAGTGGAACCCCATAGAAGTAATCAAGTAGAAGTTCTCCAAGTAGATCATCAACATGCAGATAACCATAATGATATGTGTCTTATATTGGTATGTGCTGCAGGAAACTTAAATATTGTTATGTTCTGCATTTCTGTCATCATGTCTGAAAGAAATACACAGTCATGAAAGGAGAGTTATCTGGATAATTTGAGACTGATTACGTTTTCCAACATCTGTGTTTAGTTAGGACCTCTGTTTAGTCGAAATACTCTTTAAAGAGTTTCTTTTACTTATAAGTATTACTGCTAATTGTGGTTACATATAAATATATCAACAAAATAGAATGTCTTAACATTTTTAAATAACTTATCTGCCAGAAAATCATATATTATCCTGAGTATAAATGATTAAATATAATTAAGCTAACCATGATATAGAGCTAGAAATAGATTAGGGGTCAGATTGGAAGGCTTTGTAAAATACATGTCCAGGTTGACTAAATAAATGAGAACAAAAGAGCCAAGGCAGAAAAACCAAGTAGAAAGGATGGTGAGGAGTTCAACCAACTTGGAGAAAGGTGACTTTAGGGAAATTGAAAATAGATTGGTTAGGTAGGATCAGATAATAACCTGATGAGAAACTATCATTAGGCAAAGAGGAATTTTCCTTTAGAATTTCCAATATGTTGCAGACCAGTTCTGTAAAATAAAATACAAATGAATTATCAGGAAAATGAAAATTAAAAAAACATGCATAATAATCAAAAATAGGCCCTAATTTTTTATTAGAGTCAGTAACCGTACATGGATGACTCTTGTTCTTTTTCCTTTTCAACTTTTCCTTTTTTTCCTTGATTCTTTTGTAGTTTAATAATTACTTAAAAGCAGATAGAGAATTTTTATGTTTCAGTATAAAACCAAAATGATCTCAGGTTACTTTGTACTTTGTGGCTTTTTGTCGATGTGAAGTTTTTTCCCTATCCTGTGGATCAGCAGCCTTTTGTCCAAAAAAGGTATATTGTTCAAATGTAATGAGAAGATCGACACCTGAGCCTTAGGCATACCTACAGGTAGACTGTTGAGGAGGGTGAGGACAGTGAAAAAGAGGTGGAATAACTACCGCCAGTAGCCAGGGGACCAGGATAATGTTGTTGAATCCAAATGGAAGAGTAATTGCAAAGAAAGATTGAAAAAACTCTAATGAAGGAGCAGAGAACCAAGGCGGTTAAGAAAAAAAGAAGCCAGTGTATTTGTGGGGACTCTCATGAGTATCTTGGAGGGTAAAACTGAAATATGCTAGAGTTTGAGTCAGTAAAGTGTGTTTAATTTACACAAATTCAACTTTATTTTCTCTCTCTCTTTTTTTTTTTTTAAAGAAGGAAATAATAGCAGACAGGTTTCTTTCTTTTTTTTAAAGACTTTATGTAAGTGAAATAAGACTATTTCCCCTCTTCATCTATTGTCTGTTAAAAGGTATTTTGTATATTTGTTCTGTTTACAGCTTCAGAACTAGCAAAAACACCAAGAAAAAATGCATCATTCAGTTCGAAGAATGATCCTGAAAGTATGATAAACATTCCTCAATGTAGCAAGGGTAAGATTTTACCTCAGTTCTTTGAAGAGGGTTTTTCATAGTTGCTTCAAGTTATAGTATGTTTTTATTCCCTGTCATAAGTACATATTTATATATTTTATTTTATTTTCTGAAAATTCATTCAACAAAATGCAGTTAAATACTCCAACTTGTGTGCCATGTTTAGCTGCCAATAAAGATCTCTTCTGGTTGAAGTTGTGCAGATTGATAGGGCCAATTAGAGACAGTCTTAAAATCTTGTTGTCAAAAAAACAAAACAAAACAAAAACACTGTTATTTGCTTGAGGTAGCCAAAGGCTCACGGAAGATTTGCTTTGGAAAATATTATTTAAAGTAATGCTTTGGGGGTTTGAAAGTCTTATAATTTGTGGAGAATTATGGAGCAGTTGTTTCTGAGTGACCCATTCCAACTAGGTTGAACTGTATACTTTTTAAATAACGAACAATGAAAAGGGCTCCATTTTTTTCTTGTTATATGGATGCTACAGAAATGCAGGACATAGCTGCCACTCATGGGATTAATCATGTAATTAATAGTGACAATTCAGCCTCTAGTGGAGATTCAGTCAGTTGAGAATTCTATAGTATGTGGTGGCTTCTGGGTAGAAACTTCACTTTGCTTTTAATGAAACTAAACTGATGAAAAGTGAAGTATTTAGAGTAAATAATGGCTTTTTGTTTCATTTTTTAGGGCATTCGACTTCAGATGAAGTTCTGTTGAAGGTAAGCAATTGACTAAAAAACAAGCAGAAACCTTGGTGTTATAAAATAAGACTTGATGAAAAATAGCAATTGTGTCTCTTAATTTATATAGTGCTTTATAATTTACAGGTATTTTCTAATTAAATACCTAACTTAAAAATGAGGAATCTGAGGTTCAGAGAGTGAAGTTCACCTAGGTAGGCAGGAGAAAAACTGGAAGATGAAGCCAGGTCTTTCATACCCTACTGTTATGCCTTTTTTGTGTCAGAACTATCTCTGAGTATTTCCAACATAGAGCTGGCCTGGGAATTTTATGGTTTTGCTTTGTTTTGCTTTGCTTTTGTATATAATATTCTTTTGTTTCTTGGGGGGTTGGTCCCAAGATTCCATTAAATCCATTAGTCTACCCTTTTAGGATTTACATTTGAAAACTAAATTAGTTTTGTTAAGTTCATACCAGGGTAGCTGAAAGGGATTGAGAAATTTTATTCTCTCCTTTGTGTTTTTGTGGTTTTGATTTTTCATTATGCCTTGTCAAGTGGCCCTGCTGGATGTGGGCAAGCCCAGATGGGCAAGGACAAATCCATGACAATGAGTATGTGAGTGGTGAGTGTGTCCAGGCCTGGGTGGCTTTAGATTTAGACATGCCTGGACTTGTATACAGGCTAAATTCACTTCTTTTATAAGAATGTGAATGTTCAGGGCAGTGGTTATGGCCTGTGCAGGAATGTCCCATTTAGGCAGTCTAGGTGAGGCATTAGAGATGTCACAGTCTCCTTTGTCTTTAATAATGCTTCTTTCCTGTATTATATCTTGTATATTTTATCATTACAAAAGAATAAAATGTATTTCCATAACCCAGTCAATAATTTAGATATATTAGCAAATTCTTTTTTAAGTTGTGGATCACATCTTAGTGAATCATGTCAGTTTCCCAAGGGCCTATCAGAAAACCTGTTAATAAAACTATTATATCTACCATAGTAAGAGATCACTATGACAGTCTTAGTGCACTGTCTTAGATGGGGGAGTTCAGGAGCAAATATGTGTAGGGCTGTGGAGGTCTGGACTCAAGGGGTTTAGGGCACATCTGTCAAGATGGGGAATGGATCTGTATTAGACAAAATTCATGACATAATACTTGAAGATTGGTGGACGCAGTAAGGAGAGTCTTGAAGTAAGTCTTAATAAGTAAACTATTCTTTGATAATCAGACTCTTTTACTCTAGTGAGTAATCTGTTGTCCTGGTGGGACAATAGGTTGCCCAAATGAACAAACTGTTGGGAAACAGTTATTTTGACACAGGTGTTCTCAGACTTGATAATTAAGTTATATGGGTGGCTGTTGTCTCAACTCTTGATTTTAAAATCAGTTTATTAGGATGTGACTTGAAGTTTAAAAAGTGAAATAGAATAAAACAGAAATTTTCTGTTTTGTAAGTATTATTTCATTATCATTTCTTTTAGTTATATATGTACATGTGTACTGGATCAAGATAGCAAAATGTAAAAAGAATTTTTGAGGATCTATATAAAAACTTTTGAAACATACTTTAATATACTTCATAAGTCCATTGGGACCAGCTCAGTTATTATGGTACTATTACTGGTATCCCAAATCAAAATTTATTTGCAACTAGCACCGAAACCTATCAAAAGATAGAAAAATTAAATTCTTTGTCATAGTTTCATATTGCCCAAAAACAAAGGTACTTTATCTTTTTATCAGTACCGTTAAAAATTAACATGTAAACAACAGTGGGCATTTTAATGTCCTAGAAATGTAATGGTGTATTCTGTGAGGAAAAGAAAAATATACTTTTTACTTTTGTAAAATGTTTAAAAATTTAAAAATACAGAAGCAAAAAGTATAAATCTCTCTTTTTCTCTTCCTCACAGAATGTGATACTTTAACACCAGTAAATTTCCACCATATTAAAAGGCCCATTGCCATATGCATAGGAGTGCCTATTTCCTTGTTTACTCATCATCGATGGACATGAATACCTTTTTTAAAAAAAAATACTTTGCTAATCTAATGGGTGAAGAGTAGTTCAAAAGGCTGATATACTTAGGTTTTTTTCTTTACATAAAAATAGAAGTACACACATAATTTACAGATGTCTGGAATACAACTTCTAGAGTCACTCTAGGAAGCCTTTGGAATTTGTTATATCATTTTTGTTGTTTTTCCCCCCCAAGAAATCCATTTGTCATTGTCTTCTAGTTCTAGGAACCAAGCTCATCTAGTTCTAATGTAGTCTATTAAAAACAAAATATTTTTCTTCTAGCCTCTTTCACTCAGATCCATTGTTAATTTCTATGTCATCATCATTATTTGATTATTTAAACTATGTTACTTTTTTATTTTTAAACAGTCCAATGATAAAAGTGAATTTCTGTCAACAGCACCTTGTGGTCTAAGGAAAAGATTTATAGGTATGTATTTCTTTTTACACTTTTTATAAAAAGAAGCATCTAAACAAGAGCAGCAATGGTTAAGTATACAGGTTCTAGTCTTAGGCTGCTTGCTTTTTATCTTTGGCCAGGCACTTATAGAGACCTCTCTATCCCTTTATTTTTTCATTTGCAAAATAGGAACAATAATGGTACCGGCCCCAGAGTTATTTTGAGTTTAATTGAAATAAAGGATGTCAGAAGTGCTTAGTGTAGTGCTTGACTTTGATATGTGCTTAACAGGTATTAGCTATTATTATCTTTTATTCTTATACCTACTTATTGCTATTTCTTTTTATGAAAGATAGGATATGTTCACATTCTCAGTTAAACTGTAGATTCCTTAAGGACAAGGTCTATATCTTATATTTTTAAGACATAAAACATAGCATTATGTCTTTTACATTATAGTCGATGGATATTGATGTTAGTTAAGATGTCTCTCCAATAAAATAACAAGCCTTTCAGTTTATTTGTTTTGAGACAGTTTTGGAAGTATGTCTGTTAATTTATTTAGAAATTTTATAATGAAGTAGTTTTAAATATTCATAGTCGTACTGAATGCCTTACACAGCCAAGTAAACAGACATGGGTCCTACCTTATGGAAATTAAAAAATATGTATATATTTTTAAATATTTAACTTTGGGGCAAATGATTTATTGACCTTTGTATTTCAGAAAGATGTCCCCTTCTTCCTTGGGGTTGACCCCTTGACCAATAATATTAATTAAAGTCATCAAATTCATGCTATAGTCCTTTCTTTTCAAAGTATAGATTTCATAGAGCTGTTAATGCTACTACCTCATAAAAAGGGTAATACTAAATGTTTGGATATCTGAAGCAATAAAAGATGATTATTTTTTATTATTATTTTGATGATTATTTTATGTCAAGTACATCCCATGTCCTGTGTTTTCTCCTTATCCCAAATAAGAATCCTTTTAAGGTGAACTTCCTTTTCCATCTCAATCACCACCAAACATACATACCTACATGTATGATGTATATATATAAATAAGGTAGAGACATATTCTGGTACCTCCTACCACTTCTAACCCATGTGTCTACCATGGGCAGCAGTCTTTGCAACTACAAATCTGCTAAGCTATCTGTGCCCATATAATCAAGTCGTCCTCCCCCTTTTAATATCTATGTTTGTTGTATGCTGACTCTGGATATTCTGAAATATATTGTTCAAAATATAATGATTTGGTTAAAGTTATTTCACTCATATTTTGGAAGTTAACCTTTTATAATAGTTTTATACATACTTTGTTGAATGTAAACCCTAGTTTTATTCTTACTTTATGAGTATAAAACCAGCTTTATTTGGGGAAGGGGAGAAGTGGCTTGGTTTGTTTAAAAATGTAATTGTATCATTTCTGGGATGGAATATGCCTGTGTATTAGTAGTACTTAAAATAGTAGCTACTTGCTGTATCAGTTAGGATGACATTTTTAGTAGGCAGTTTAATCCACATTTAAGTATGTGAAATCATAAGAAGTCTAGGGATACAAAGTTCCGTGGTTGATGTAGAGACTCAGTAGTGTCATGAAGGATCCAGATTCTTCCTATCTTTTTGTTTTGCTGCCACCATTTTTCATCTTTAGGTTCGATACTTCATATTGCACAATGACCTCCATAGCTTTAAGCTATGAGTATACATAAGGGGCTTTCCTTCCATAGGCGAGGAAAATCTTTCCCAGAGGCTTCCAGCAAATTTTCCCTCAAGTTCCACTGGTCAAAGGATTACATAGCCAACCCTAGTTGCAAAGGAGGCTGAGAAAGCAAGTATCTTGCAAACGAAGAGACCATGATTATTTATCCCTTAGGGTGGAGCACATTGCCACATTTTACAAAATTGGAATTCTGTTGGCAAGGAAGAAGGAAAGACAATGGTCGTAGGTATGACTGACAGTTTTTGCCACAGTTTCTGTGTGTCAGGCTTTGTTAATTGCTTTACATACATCTCACTCTAATCTTAATAATGGTCTATTAAATTAGTATTAGTCTCATTTGATAATTGAGGAAACTGGTGCTCTGAAAACTTATATGACTAGCTCTGGTGAAATCATCAGCAAGTAATGACAAAACCAGAGGTCAAATTCTCTTACTTTAAAGCCCACATTTTTCCTGTTACCCCACAATACCTCTCTTGTCAAACTGTCAAATTTCCCAATTGCTTTCCCCCCCACAGTCCCAAGGTCTCATTCTGACAGCGAAAGTGAATATTCCACTTCCAACTCAGAGGATGATGAAGAGGTTGCACAAGAATATGATGAGGACACTAATACAGTCATATTGAACCCAAAGATTCAAGCTCAGAATAGAGTAATTTCAACTCCTGTTTGCAAAGAAACGCCTTCTAAGAAAATGAAAAGAGATAAAACAGTAAGTGAAGAGAGAGACTTAAACCTTCAAGAAAAATTATGTAGTGTCTCAAAGACCTGCTGCCCTAAGAGAAGAGATCCAAATAGGGGAATCAGCATAATATTTTTCTTCACTTTTTTTTTTTTTTTAATATGTCTTTATTGATTTCAGAGAGAGGAAGGGAAAGAGAAAGAGAAACATCAATGATGAGAGAGTCATCATTGATTGGCTGCCTCCTGCACAGCCCCTACTGGGGATTGAGCTCAAAACCCAGGCATGTGCCCTGACTGGGAATTTAGCGGTCATCTCCTGGATCAGAGGTGGATGCTCAACCACTGAGCCGTGCTGGCAGGGCTTTTCTTCACTTTTCTATAGTTTGTTAGCCTTTGACATAAATTCCGATGTATCTTTATCTATTTCTGGACTTTCTGCCTTGGTCTGTCTGTATCGCTACCACAATCAATATATGCTGAAGGTGACATCTCAATTCAGTTCTATAAAGATGAGCTTTTCATTAAAAATATATTGATTGGATAATTGGGGGCAAGACTTCTCAGTGTATACCTTCTTATATAGTTTTTTTTTGTAACATTTTGATGTGTTCAGGTAAATGTAAGTAATAAATAATGGGACTATGGATCCATGCTGAGCTCTTTGGAAGAACACTGTAGACACCATGGTTTGAGAAAAGGCTAATTATCCTGGTGTTTTGTAGAAAGATTTAGAGCAGTCTAGGAAGCCAGCTGCTTGAATGGCTTCTCATCCCTTCCTAACCACCGTGGAGGTTAGCTGTGCCCTAAATCAGTAGAACAAGTAAGAGCCATTTTACTGGACTAATAGCAGGCAAGTCTTTTTTACCTTGCTGTTGGTATCTTCCTCATTTCATGGTACTTCAACTGTACTGATATTAAAGGATTTGCTCAGACTGTGTGAGGCAAGACAAAGATTCTGATAGGTAAACCTCCACTTTTTTAAGTTTAAATGGAAATTATATGTTGGGACGTAGGAATTGTTTTAGGGAATAGACTACTTCAGTCTAGTCATTTCTTTCACTTTTATGATCCTAAAAGTTACTCGGTTTTATCACTACAATTAAATTCGCTTGGTCCAAAATCTGTGTTGTTTTAAATAGAAAATACTGAATGCCAAATAAAGAATTTCACATATCCTATTTTACATTAATATTACTGCCTAGTTTTGATATAAAACAAGTATCTGAAACTAAGAAATGACTTTGCACTTTCAGAGTGACTTAGTAGAAGAATATTTTGAAGCTCACAGCAGTTCAAAAGTTTTAACGTCTGATAGAACACTGCAGAAACTAAAGAGAGCTAAACTGGATCAGGTATGTTGCAAAGAATGTTACCTCTAACATTACCTCTTTATGGTAACAATCTTTTTAGAAATTAAAGCCTTATATTTGGAATTTATAATCATGTAAATGGTTCTGGAAAAAAACTTAGCAAATTCTTTACTGCTATCACATATTTGTACCAAAAAGAATGTTAAAAAATTTAACAAATATTTAAATCATATTTGAAATACTATGTGTACTCAGTTGATGCACTTATTACCAAACTAATGTCCTCTTCTAACCTCTACCTCTAAGGAAATATTTTTAGTTTGAATTGATTTGATGTATGTGGTTTGAAAGTGATTATCTTCCCTCTCTCTTCCTTTTTTTTTAAAAGCAAACTTTGCATAACTTATTGAGCAAGGTTTCTCCTTCCTTTTCTGCTGAACTTAAACAACTAAATCAACAACATGAACAATTATTTCATAAATGGATGCTACAGTTACAGTAAGTAGTGTCATCATTGCAAACCCTTGTAAATTAAAGAATAATATATGTCTGTGTTAAAATCAAAGTAATTTAACATTTAATTTTCTTTTTGAAACACTCTTGATACACATTTTTAATTTATGTATGAATGTAGAAATGTCATTATTGTATGGCTCTTCTCAGAAATTCTAGTTTTCAAGAAATTTGTCTTTTCTAAATTTAATTTAATTTGCCAGTAACAGGTCAAAGGGTTATGCTAATAAGAATAGAATGATTATCTTCCATGGTAGGACCTTACCTCCTCTCAGTAACTCTTTATGATCTGTTCATTATAAATTTATAAAGGAGCTCTTCACTCTAATCTCATTCCCCGATCCACCAATTCTTCCTTCTTCCAGTTGTCAGCTGCAGTAACTTGATTTGCTTTGCTTCCTAGCCTACACCTCATAGTCAGCTACTTCAGTAGACTTGCTAGCTCTCTGAATTCCCTTCTTTTTTTCTGCTGTTTCTACCTTGCTAATCTCTACTTAAGGCATTATCTCTCGTGTTCTTCTATTTCTAGGCTATCCTGCATTGCTACAGAGCATCACATAAATACTGTTTCTGCCTGACCTCCATAAACAACCATGGAGTTGAACTTTAGCTTGACCCCTAGTATGTGATGTTCTGGGTCTTCTCATTCACTCTCTTGGCCTCAATTGCTTTTTATGTGTGAATAACTTCCGTAACTCTATCTCCAGCCCATCCCAGCTCAGATCTCAATCCTCAACAGTAGACATGAATATCTGAATGCTGGAGGTTTCCATGTGGATGTCCTGTAAATAATTCAATGTACATAAAATTTAACTCATCTTAAACCCATCATTCCCACCTGCCCCTGCTGCCTAACACAATGACTGTCACTCCATTCAAGTAGAGTTTCATGCCAGAAACTGAGTTATTCTTCAATATTCCCTTTGCCTCACCTGCCACATCTAACTACTCTCCAAATCCTATTGATTTGACATATAAAGCTTTTGACACCTTACGTTTTTCTCCTTGACACCTAATTCAAGTCAGTTTTGTCCCTCCTCATCTATTCCCCTCACTTAGCCAGTATTATCTTTCTAAAAAGATCCTGCTAATTTCCTACTTAAAACCTTTCAGTTAATAACTGAGTAGTTACTAGTAAGTGTTCATAGTTCTTGGAATAAAATCTAATGTCTTAGTTGACTTACCAAGCTCTTTGTGACCTAGCCCCTGCTTACCTTTCCATTTTAATCTGTCAATTAAAACTCTACTTCAGCCTGTAAAACTTTTTAGTGCCTTGCACCTACCATGTTGTCCTTTTACCTTCCAGCATCTGCAGCTTGAAAGTAATATGAGCTGGAGAGCAAGCTACTAAAATTGGAACTCTAAGCTTGGTATAAACAGATAATAAAATTGTGCTTTTACCTTGATCAAGTTGGGAATCAATATAGTTATTTAGCCATCCCAGTTCTTCTTGTATTCTTTTATAAGCTTAAATTAAGGAAACTGGTTGATTATAAAATTGGCAATGAGAGGTACTGAACTTTAATTTCATGAATGCTATCTTTCCTAACAGCCTGGGGTTCAACATTGTGCTTTATGGTTTGGGTTCTAAGAGAGATTTACTAGAAAGATTTCGAGCCACCATGCTGCAAGATTCCATTCATGTTGTCATCAATGGTTTCTTTCCTGGAATCAGTGTGAAATCTGTAAGTTTCAAAGATGTTATAAGGAACAACCTCCTGCCAGTCTATACTCCCATGTTAATGAGGATGCTACTTCTCATTATGGAGTGTTCAGTTTTTGCTTTTAGCCTTCCTACTAGTAGAACTGCATAGTGCTTAAGATCGTGTGCTTATACTCACAGGGCTCTAGCTTTGAATCCCCGTCTTTGAATTTCCTACTTTGTAACTGATCTATGTTAAATCTTAGAGAAAAGTTAGCTTTGTGTACTGTACCAAATACTAACAATACTTCTCTGAAGGACTGGATTATGGGGGACCTCAATTTTATAATGCTTTTATGTCACTTTGGTACTCTAATAAAAATATAAGTAATACTTTGTAGTTTTTAATACATTTACAGCTCATTTTTACTCCAAATGCTCATATTTCTTCATCATTTGAAAATTAATATAAATCTTTTGGGTGCTGGATATTAACTGATGTAGTATTCCTTTCTAAAAGTGTCCTTAATGTTTGTGTCCCGTTTCCTTTGATAAATCAATAGTTTTCTAATGTTTCTCATATTATTGGGTTTTTTGTGGGCATTTTGCATCCCTCTTATAGTATCTTTACATCTTTGCTATTCTGTTTTCTTTCTTTTAACTATAACTTATACAAAAAAATGAATATAGATAACTTATGAATATAGATATACTTAAGTACCAGTAGAATTTTTTAAAGTGATTTTTTTTATACTTGGTGGGAAATCCAAATTTATTTTTAATTTTATAAAAAAGGATTGATATGCTAGTTGTTTTTATCTTATATGACAGAATAGGTTATAATTGATGTATCTCTTGCGCTTTTATGATACAGATCCTGAATTCTATAACAGAAGAAGTCCTCAATCATATGGGTACTTTCCGCAATATACTGGATCAGCTAGACTGGATAACAAACAAATTTAAAGAAGGTAATGTGAAGTAGATGCTCTAATTTTAGGGTTAAGCTAAGCATACACTTTTACGTATTCATGTATTAGTACACACAAAAATGATGATTATTTTAATAATGGCACTTTTCTCAATGCTGATTTAGATTAATCTAAAATAGTCAGTGTTTTCTGTTTCTGTGAACCTCACTAGTTACCTAACAGGAAAGAATTACTCCTATCACCTTGAATTTGTATAGCCAAAGCCTCTTGTTTCAGAATAATTTTCAGGTTTCATTTGGCGATCGTGAAGTGCCCCCAGTTGATTGGTACACTTTGCCTGGTACTTTAATATTTAATATTTTTATAAAACTTTCTTATTTACTCTGAGCAATTATCACTGCATGTCAGTAATTTCATATACTAAAATCTGGAATGTAAAAAACATCTTTTCTTTTGGTGTGAATGTTCTGGTTATGTGAGCATTTCAAAGAATTAGAAATAAAATTATTTAGGCTCTAACAATTATCATTTAGTCATTGCTTAAGAATTAAAAGGAGTAATTGGTTATGCTTAATTGATTTGATGGATAATTTCTGTATTGTTTGTATGCTCATTAAAATAGATGCCTGTCCGGCTGGGCATGGCTCAGTGGTTGAGCATCAACCTAGGATTCAGGAGATCGAGGTTCAATTCTCGGTCAAGGCACATGCCCAACCGGGTTGTGGGCTTGATCCCCAGTCGGGGGCGTGCAGGAGGCAGCCGATCAGTGACTCTCTCTCATCATTGATGTTTCTATCTCTCTCTCCCTCTCTCTCTCTGAAATCAATAAAAATATGTTTAAAAAAAAATAGATGCCTAAGTTGTTTCATATATATGAATATATATACTATATATGTATTGTGTATGTCATACATGTTATATGTCTGATATATATTTGTTATACAATTATATATAATTGTAATTGTAATTACATATCATTATATAATGTAAACAAATGTAGTATATATTTATGTGTAATTTATATGTTTATTTGTATATAATTTAAATACTGTTGATTGGTGGCTTCTGGAATTCATGGAAGCTTAGACTTTGAAAATGTGTCATCTCAGAATCTTTGTCACTATATTGCCTCTCTTGTTCCTCTATCCCCAGGAGAAATTTATTTATTCTCTCTAAAAGGCTCATCCTCCATCATAATTGCCAAATGTCCCATTTCTTATCAACTCCTGAGAGACTTACAAATAGCTTTTAAAAATGTATAGGACTTTTTCTATCTTAGGGAAAAAAATTACCTGATTCTACTGCCCTTCCATGCTATTTTATTTCCCTATTTCAATATGGTTTTAGAGTTTTGTTGGTTTGTGTGTGTGTGTTTTAAAATATGTTTTTATTGATTTCAGAGAGAGGAAGAGAGAAAGAGAGAGAGAGAAACATCAGTGATGAGTCATTGACCGGCTGCCTCCTGCACCATCCCTAACTGGGGACCGAGCCCACAACCCGGGCATGTGCCCTGACTGGGAATTGAACCGTGACCTCCTGGTTCATGGGTGGATCCTCGACCACTGAGCCACACCGGCCAGGCATGATTATAGTATTTGAAGACATTTCCTGTCTTCTGCTCTTTACCTGTTTCCTTCTTAATTTCTTGCTTTTGTGTTACCTAAACTGTACGCTTGAAGATCACCTGTAATTTCCTTCTTTTTAAACACATTGGCCTTGGCCCATCCTTTACCTTGATATCTGCAGTATTTAGTGGGTTTGGCAGCTTAATACTCCAATTTCTTCCTTCATTGACTTACGATATTTTACTTCTCTCACTCTCCTGACCCCTTGAGCAATATCCTAAGCCCCTCCCCTCCCTTTTATTGTCTCCTTTGGCTTTTTTGATAATTAGGGTTTTCTGTATTAACTCTTAATGGTTAATGAGAACCCTTTCTTTTTCCCTGTGTGTTTCCCCTCCACTCCCACCTTGCAACTCAACATGCACAGATTCACTTCCAGTCCAATATACATCTTGCCATGTTTCCTATACCTTATTAAAACTGCTTTCTTTATGGTCTGATTCAAGTACTCACCATTCCAGTTAAATCTCTAATCATTCCAGTCCCTATTGATTTTCAGTGAATTTTATTTTTTAAAGACTTTAATAATGTCTTGCCTACTTTATGAATGAATGACATATATTCCCAAATAAATTGTATATCCCTAAGCAATAGTTATTTTGTCCTTTGATAGATTCTTTAATCCATATTGTGTGTGGTAGGGATTTCACAAATACTCATTGAAAGTAATAATTGAATTCTCTTTTTTTAGATTCTTCTTTAGAACTCTTCCTTCTTATCCACAATTTGGATAGCCAGATGTTGAGAGGAGACAAAAGCCAGCAAATTATTGCACAATTGTCATCTTTACGTAACATATACCTTATAGCATCTATTGATCACCTCAATGCTCCGCTCAGTAAGTTAAATAATACTATTTTTCTTTCTTGACATATCTTTCTTACAAAATTAATTTTCTTACTATTGTCACAGCATTTGTTTTTTTAGTACAGTTTTCTTTTATTGCATCTTTAAAGTCACAGGTAGCCAAAAATCTAGGTGTCCTAAATCTGTTTTAGAACATAATAATTGGAAATAAAAATTCAGATTCTAAAGGAAGTGTTTTACACCTAAAACTTCTCGAAAGAGAGGAGACCCAACTGCTATTTTGATCTTTTTCTACTCTTTGTGGTATAGCAACATTTATTTTATGCAATTTAATTCAGAAACTGTGATAATCTTATTGAACAAAATGTTAAATTATTAAAACTTTGTAAAAGAATGCCTTGGTAGCACTAATATGTTTTAACTTATATTTAATATACCAATGACAATTCAGATGTTGATTGACAATGAAATTAGATTGTTAGGGACTGATTTGGATGGGGAAATGGCAAAAACAGAAGTTTACAGGATTCATTTTTTATTTAATGTCTCATTCTTCCCTAGAGTGGAATTTGGAATTTAGTAACATAACAATATGGAAATAATTAGTAATTGTTTTCATTTCTTTCGTCATGTGCTCTAGTGTGGGATCATGTAAAGCAGAGTCTTTATAACTGGCTCTGGTATGAAACCACTACATATAGTCCATATACTGAAGAAACCTCCTATGAGAATTCTCTTCTGGTTAAACAGTCTGGATCACTACCACTTAGTTCCCTAACTCACGTCTTACGAAGCCTTACCCCTAATGCAAGGTAAGAATGAAAATTATAGTTTTTGGGTTTTTTTTTTAAATTATACATTTTAAAGCATGCACTACTAGTTTTAATGGCAATACTAAAGTTCCTACTTAGCCTGAAGGATTAAGAGAATAGTAGTAATAAGAGTCCCTAGTACTGGGTTATATCAGACTACTCAATAGTAGTCTACCAAATTGCCCAATAATAAAGCAGGAGTACCAACATTTTTTTTTCATAATAGATTTTTATATTTGTGAATAGGAGCATCTTGGTGGTCATTATGGAGGAAAAGCAGAACTTTGATGGATTTTACTTAAATTTGATGGTTATTTTTAATTACATATAAGTATTGTAATTCAAACACAGGCTCCTTTACATGAACTAGTTCATTTGATCCTCATAACCACTCTAAGGTAGATAGTAAAGGGCACAGGGATTTTTATTCAAATCTACCTGGTTCTGAGGTTCATGCTTTTAAACATCTTTGTATAATGTCTCCAGTGAAGCACTTTCAGCAGCCTAACCAAGAGGCATATCTGAGTTAATAAAATCTTAAGAAAATGGATATAGCATGAGCCAGCAAAAAAATAAATTGTATGAAAATTAACTTGTTGAAAGAGACTTTTAGTATCACACCACCACCACCGAAGCATACAATTCTAGAACTATTTTTAACAAGACAACGTGTTGAAAAACAACAAACCTTGTTGAGAATAGATCATTAAGATTTGAATAAAAATACTATGTTCTTTAGTGGACTGAATAAAGGCAGTAGCACTTCCTTCCAAGTTAGAAATCTATTAGATCTATAAATCAAAACATAAATGATTTTTTTGTGTTTTAAACAGAAAACTCAAAAAATTTTAAGAATAAGGAGTTAGACTAGCAAAGACGTTTTTCTTTATTTGAAGTGTAATGAGGGAAGTTGCAGATTAGTCACAGAGATGTAGATTATAGCATAGATAGTACAGTCAGTATTGTGATAACTATGTATGGGACCAGGTGGGTACTTGAAGCCGGGTGGTGGGGTGTGGACCGCTCTGTAAAGTACAGGACTTTCTAACCACTTTGCTGTACATCTGAAACTAATACAGAATAATATTAAATGTAAACTGTAATTGAAAAATAAAAAAATACATTAAAAAAAGAGCAATGAGGGGACATTTCTGTACAAGATGGCATAATACTTTCATACTTTGATTCATCTCCTCTTGGGCCAAACACACTGCATCATAGATTAAATGTAACAAAAATAAAAAGATATAGCCTGACTAAAAAATATGAACATCTCAGTAGAACAGAATCATAAAGCAGTGAGAGAGGTGAAGCCACAGCCCAGCTACCTTATGGATCTAGAAGCAGCATTTGCAGCCAGGAGTTTAACTTATGTGGAATAACAGTAGTGTGACAATGTCACTTAGTGCCCACACCCAGACATTTTTGTTCAGGACAAATATTAAATTGGATGGGATGGTAGATGTAAAAATAAAAAGCATGTAAAATGATAGTATATGGTGTTCAAATTTATATATACAGGATGGGCAAAAGTAGGTTTACAGTTATGAGTATGTGAAACAGTTTATTCTTGTATTATTATTTTTTAATTACTGTATTATTTGCCATACGAACAACTCTAAACCTCTTTTTGCCCATTTATTTATATGTGTATATAAATAAATACATTTATTCATATGTATATATATGAATAAAAACTTTTCAATGTAGGTGGATATGAAAAATTCCTAATTTAGGATAGTAATGACCCTGGAAAAGAAAGGAGGGGAATAGGTAGGAGATGGGGTACACAGGAACTTTCAAATAGATCTTGGGCTTTTTTGCTAGCAGTTTATTTTCCATTTATTTGTTTCTCTTTTTAAAATTTTTGTTTTAAAATAATTATAGATTCACAGAAGGCTACAAAGAAATGTACAGGGAATTCGCAGCACCTCTTTCCCAACTAGCCCTCATGCCAACATCTCACACCACAGTGCAGTATTAAAACCAAGAAACTGACATTGGCATGATCCATGGAGCTGCTTACTTATTTCGATTTCTCCATTAATACATTCACTCATTTGTGTGTATGTGTGTGTATGTGTGTGTGTTTAGTTATGCGATTTTGTCACATGTAGCTTTGCTTAACTACCTCCCAATCAAGACACTCAACTGTATTATCACAAGACTCCCTCATGCTAATGAATTTTATTTTATAAAGCTGTTTTTGTACACTTGAAAATAAGATTAGCATTGTGTTAATATTGAAATAGGTATTAAATGGGTATCTAATCAAAATTTTTGATGGAATTAGGAACAGAAAAAGTCTTCAATTTTACTGTTATGCTTACTGCTAATGCAAGTTGCTATGTATGAAATTGGGGATCCATGCAATATAAGTACTCACAACATTAAATATGACGCTGACTGCTCTAAAGCATATATTTTTTAATGTGGCATACTTAAATGTGTGCTAGCCTTCAACACTTTTAAAAATATATTTAAACTACTTTGAAATTTTGGTTCATTCTGCAAACGCCAATATTGTTTAGTCTTTACTTACTATGAATGTGATTGGTCAAAAATCTTAACCAAGCCCTGGCTGGTGTTGCTCAGTGTTTAGAGTGTTCGCCTGAACACCAAAGCATCATGTTTGATTCCCGGTCGGGCACGTACCTGAGTTGCAGGTTCAGTCCCTGGCCCTAGTCGGGGCACATGTTGGAGGCAACCAATCAATGTGTCTTTCACATCGATGTTTTTCTCTCTCTCACTCTCTTTCTCCCCCCATTTCCACCTCCCTTCCACTCTCTCTAAAAATAAATAAAAAGTCCCTTGGTATCTTCGAGGGATTGGTTTCAGGACACCCTGTAGATAATATTTATTGTTGTGAGTACTTATATTGCATTGTTAAAAAAAAGTCTTAACCAAAATATAGCTGTGGAGTCAGTGGCAGTGCAGTTGACCCTTGAACAACATGGGTTTGAACTGCACAGGTCCACTTTTTTACACTCAGACTGTTTTCAATAAATATATAATCAGCCCTCAGTATCCCCTTGTTTTGCATCCATGGATTCAATCAATTGCAGATCAAAAACAGTATTTTCAATCCATGGTTGGGGATCCCCAGAGGCGGTGGGCCAACTCTATGCGTTGTTCTACGCCATTTCATATAAGGACCTTGAATATCCTTGGAGTATGGTATCTACAGGGTGTCCTGAAACCAATCCCTGGAAGATACCAAGGGACAACTAAGAGTCAAAAGTTATACTTGGGTTTTCAACTACTTGGAGGGGAGGGATTGGTGCCCCTAACCCCTCTCATTGTTCAAGGGTCAATTATACTTAATTATACAGTGGTTATTTAGATAAGCCAAGTATATTTATAGTAACTGTTTTCTACATTATCATAAAAATGAAAATGCAGAGGTTTAACATTTTTGCTATACCCAAGGACTCCTAGGAATCTTAGTTTGTGTAACATTGCTTTCAACCCCCATAATTCCACTTGGTCCACTCTCCTACAGAAATAATTCAAAATCAGTAAGTGGCCTGTCGGCATGGCTCAGTGGTTGAGCATCAGCCTAGGATCCAGGAGATGGAGGTTCTATTCCTGGTCAGGGCACATGCCCCAGTTTCGGGCTCGATCCCCAGCAGGGGGTGTGTAAGAAGCAGCCAATCAATGACTGTCATCATTGATGTTTCTCTCTCTCTCTCTCCATCTCCCTTCCTCTCTCTGAAATCAATAAAAATATATTTTAAAAAATAATAAATAAAAATCAGTAAGTGAAAAAGTGAGGTATAAAATGGTGTAAATACCATATATAAATGCATGAATTTGTGTTTTCAACCTGCCTTATTCCACAAAGATTTTAGAAAACAGTACACACAAGTATCATTTCCACATCAGATGTTAGTGTTGTTATTTTAGGGCTATGGGATTGATATTTTCATTAGATTTTATTATATATTCCATTTTCTATAGTGCACTAACCTATTGACTAAAAAAAAAAAAAATAGTCCTAAATTTTCCTTAAAAGGAATTTAAAAAGTGTTTTCTTTTTAAGTAGGCCAGTATATGATGGTCCTTGGAGAAAGGAACAGAGCTAATGTAGACAAGCCAAGTATTTCACATTCCCTTCATGTATTTCACTACTAGCTGTTATCTTTTGATGTTAACATTTTGGATTTGAATTCCTATATGTTTTTTGTTTTTTTTCTAGGGGGATTTTCAGGCTACTAATAAAGTATCAGCTGGATAACCAGGATAACCCTTCTTATATAGGTATCCAATATTTATATTAAGTTGTGTGACTTTGTTTCACCCCATAAATTCCTTTTTCTGGAATCTAATACTAGCACTACAGTTTTTCACAGCGATGAATAAATGGTTTGCTCTGTGATCATGGTGTCTGCCACGTGGCAAATATTCTAACAACCCTACAGATGCACAGCTGAACAGGCTGTTCATCAATGTGAACTGAAAGGCAAGCCCAGCTTGCTTTTTAAATTTATTGTGCTAACAATGGATGTGTATCTACCAATTACATATATTTCATACATTGGGCATCTTAGGAGATTTTGTTCCCTTGGAGTAAAAATGTGTTAATTTAAACATTTTAATAATCGTTCAGCTCTCATGCCTTATTAGGTCCCCTCTTTAAAAGTCAACTTTGTTCACACTATTTAGAACTGCCTACAGGGTTATGTAATACTTGGTCAGTTGACTATTTTTAACCAATCATTTTTGTTTAAAAAATATAAGCCACAGTATTCTCTAGTTTTGCTTCTTCCAGAGGCACTTACCAATTTTTTTTTTTTTAAATCAATACTGAATGACTGCTTTGAAATACTGTGGCCACAAGCACTATTTCTATGGTCTTTGGTTTGGGTATACACATATGGGATCATGTCTTAAATGCTGACTTATGTTCACATCTCCTTTTGAACTCTCCAGGACTTTCTTTTCAAGATTTTTACCAGCAGTGTCGGGAGGCATTCCTTGTCAATAGTGATCTGACACTTCGGGCCCAGTTAACTGAATTTAGGGACCACAAGCTTATAAAAACTAAGAAGGTGAGACTTTGCTGTTATAGCATATTCCAGGAATAGCATTTCTTGTTTACTTAAGGTCAAGTGTTCCTTTGACTAGATCTGATTGTGGAACTGAGGTTCCATGATAGGTCACAAGGATTCATTTAGTTCTGTAGAAAGAGATAAGGTAATGAGATTAGAGGGCCAGGAACTAAGCCTAAATGTGACATTTAATAGCCAACTAAAAAATACGCCTGCAAGGTGAGAGGAACAGCCAGAGTCGGGAAGAAAATTAGGATATGTTGTCACAGAAGCCAAGAAAAGCATGTTTTAAGAAAAAAAGAATGGTCAGCAGTGTCAGGTGCTGCTTAGAGGCCAACCAAGGACTAGAAAGACCTATTGGACTTAGGAATATGGAATCCCTCTGTCTAAGCCAGCAGTTTTCAGCCGGTGTGCCACAACACACCGGTGCGCCACAAGAATTTTAAAACGTGATACCTGACTGTTTAGTCAGGGGCACTAACCTCTTCTCCCTTAGATTGTCAAATAAAAATATGACAACAGCCAACATAGCAATAGCCGTCCTGTGTGAGTGAGTCAAAATTATACCTATTTTTGTCAGATTGGCAAAAAACACAGCATGTTTTTTGGTGTGTCGCATAATTATAGTATTTTATGTGTGCCATGAGGTGAAAAGGTTGAAAATCACTGGTCTAAGCAAGAGCTTTTTTGGTGACATGATAATGGTGGCAGTAGCTAGGTTGTGCAGGGTTGAGGGAAAAGTGAGGAAATAGAGACCACCGTTGATAGACAACTCTTCTGAAAAGGTACAGGGGTTGGGTGATAGTTGGAAAAGAACAAGGGTTCAGTGAGAGTTACTTAAAAATGGGAGATACCTAAATGTATTTTAAAGTCAATGGAAAGGATCCAGTTGAAGGAATAAAAGAACAGAGAAATCAGTAGTGTAAGATTGTCTATAAAGAGCAGGATGAAGAAAATAAATACCCACCTACTCACCCTCTAGTCTTTGCCACTATAAAGTGACTTAACTATAAACTCAGTGTAAATAGATTTATGTCTGTGTGCCCTTTTCCCTTAACTTTTATACTTCTAAATTTATATAAAATATTAAATACACTTTTTAACCTACGATGGGATTTAAATTTATCTCTTACAAATGACTAACATCCAGGGTATTCTTACATCTTTTAGGGAACTGATGGAGTGGAATATTTATTCATTCCTATCGACACTGGAACATTGACCGAGTTCCTGGAAAAGGAAGAAGAGGAGTCTTGAAGCTGTCCTTGATCCTGAGTATCCTGTGGAAAGGTGGTTGTACTCCAGCTGCCACTCCTCCAGTCTAAAGTGGTGTGTTTATTTCCAACATCAGACTCTTTTTCCATTGTACAAGATTTAAAATTGGGAGGGGGAATGTCATGAATTAACCTCGATTAGCCTGGCTAATTAATTACCATCTCTAGTACTGTGCTGTTCAGTGGTTCTCAGGTTGGAGAAAATGTGCCTTCCATTCATTACCTCTCTGGAGATTCTTGCTGGAATGAACAGTGTGCTCAGGGACTGTGTGGAACTAGATGTTTTTTAATTCTTTTATACTAGAGGTGATATTACTCCTGATTTTTTGAGGGCCTTTTAACACTCCAGGAGCTGATTGTTTGCAAATGTGCTTGTTCCAGAGTGTACAAAGACAATGGCATCACATAAGTCTGCTTTATTTGTTGTTCTGTGTGTCAGAACTGGTAAGTGAAACAAAGAAGGCTTACTGTTTCTGAAATTGCTTAACAAAAGGTGTTAAATTGGGGACAACTAGGTGATCCAGCTTTTTCCTTTTGGATATAAGCTACAAAAGGGGGGGAGGGGTGGCGAGGGCATGACACTATTCAGTTGGGATAGTGGGAAAAGTGTAATAAGTATATAGGGTGTATACCCAGCCTCGAAAGCACACGAAAAATAATGAAACGTGGTATTCAGAAGTTAACATTTGTGCCATCACTTTCACATACAAGTGAGAAGCCAGGCTAGAGAAATACACTTCTGAACTACATATTAGTCATTATTTTCAAGACAACGGAAAATAAAAACTTAATTATTCTTCTATATTGACATTTTTTTTTTGTCTTGAATAACATGCAGGTGAGTAGCATATTAATGGCTGGCTAACACACTGTGAGACATTTCATTTATTTTCTTACAGTGACAATTTCAAGCCTCCTAAATATTTACATGGGCCTTTTCTCTTTCCTAAGAAAAAAGGCTAACTTTGGCCACTGTAGTCAGCTTACAGTTTTCACATACTCCATGAAAGGTTTCATAATTGGAAATGAATTTCATTAATATGTCACTGTAATAAAGTATGTACCACATCAGCATTTTTTTACTCATTTCTTTCACGAAAATATTTCCCCAAATGCTCAGAATTTTTTAATCATTTTTTTGTGGTATATAATTAATCAATTTTATATTAAGTCCATGAATTAAGGGTTTAAAGACAATTACTAATTAAAATATTTAAGAATTTGTACATGATTGAGTCTAAAAAATTTTTTAAATTATACCAAAGGCTAATCAATGAAAAGCAGTTCCTTTTCTATTCCTTGATCCAGTCCCTTAGGCAACCATTGGTAGTTTAAGTAATCTTGCAGAGGTAGTGTATGCACATGGGCTGTATTTTTTCCTTTTAAAAACAGAAATGGTAGCATATGATACTTACTGGTTTGCATTTTATTTTTTGCTTAACATATCTAGTTTATAACAACACAGTATAAAAAAATATACAAAATCTTTTATGACCTAATGTGAAAACTTTACATTTGCCCTTAAATATCTACTAGTTTATTTTTATAATTTTTGTGCCTATACTATTTGCAAGGAGTATGTCAATAGTCTTTACTACTAATAAAAAGTCAATTTGGATGGAATCGCTCATTTATAGTATTGGTTTTTTTCACTAAAATCATCTTGAAGTTCCTTAAAAATTTTATGAATGCATCTTACAGATCTAATGAAGACTTCAGTAGAATTACATGCTCTTCATTAACTTGTTTCAGCATCAATGCTCCTTAAGCTCAATCAGAGTTTGGCTGCTAAGGCTCCAATTTTTGCTGTTGCTTGCTTCTCGTGAGACTGAAGAGACCAGAAACCTTGAAAGACTTTTCTGGCTGCTCTTAATAAAATAGTAAATAGGCCAAGAAAGGGCACAGAGGATGTAAAACAGACATTTACACTCCACTACCTTGGCATAAGACTGAATTCCTGAGGCAGTGTTCAATCAATTCTTGTGACATTCCAGAAATTCGACATTTTTAGTATCATCATTGTCATTTTAATATATGAATATTTCATTCATACACAAAATCAGTGAGTCTGGATTATGGTTAATAGATTTTTGCTTAACTTTTAAAAAAAATTACTAAGAAAACTTTTAGGTGGGCCCCCAGCCCAACACCCTGGCTTGGGAGTCAGCTCGCCCAGCTGTCAGCCTTTGCCTCCATTTCCAGGAAGTCTTTATGCTACTAACACGTTTTCATCAGAAGTGTAAGAAGGATGTGCACTGCCAAGAAATGTGGAATTAGGTTCCAGTTTCCAGCTGTTATCTTCATCTATGAAGATGAAATGAAGGGGAAAAGCCATGCCTGTCTGAAACTTTTCTAAAGTTTTCAGATTACAACAGAACTGCTGAACAATTAAAGAATAATCCATGACACAAGAGTTACCTGGAACAAGTGTCCCTGAGACAGCTACAGAAGTTATTCCATTTTTTATGAGGTTACTTGTGGGGGCAGTGCTTGGCAGAAACAGTGGAACAAATTCGACAGGAAACCACCATTGATCCTGAGGAAGACCTGAACAAACTTGATGACAGGAAACTTGCCAAAAGGAAGAACATCATGGATGAATTTTTTGAGACAAATTAGAAGGATGATCCAAATTTTGTTTATGACATTGAAGCTCAGTTCCCACAGGATGAACAATTGCAGTCCTATGACTGAGACAGTCAGCTGATTTATTGGGCTAGCAGAAACTGCATGTTTACACAGAGAATGTAGATTAGTTCTAGAAAAATCTGTAAACACTAAACATACATGTTGGGTCATATTTAGATTGACCATGTTACTTTTAAAAACCAAGACATGTAGAGCACCTACTATGTAGGTACATGAGGAATATAAGAAAAACAGAATATAGGAATCTGACTTTAAGGAGCTTACAATCTAATTGGGAGATATGTCACAAACTTGTGAAAAGCTAATTAACAGTATTAGGCAGCAAAAAGATTAAAGCCAAATGCTTACAGTAAAAAAGGGTCCAAACCTACATTACTGTAGAGTAGTCAAGGAAGACTGTCCTTTAGTGGCAAGATGGGACTTTGCCTGGCCCTTGAAATGGAAGTTATTTGAATAGAAGCTTATATAGGATTCCAGAT